CATTTAAAGGCAATAATCCTTAATATAATCCCACATTAAAGGGGAGGGCCGAATTCCATAGTAGAACACTTGCTTTGCATGAAGATGCCCAAGGAGAACGGGGATTCACTTCCTGAAACCCTGGACAGCTACTGCCAGTTGCTGTGTAGACGATACTGTCCTAGATAGAGGACTGTCCTCTGACAGCACTTTATAATAGAGGACCACCCTCTGCAAACGAGGGCCCTCTAGGTCATGGGTAGGCAAACTAAGGCCTGGGGGCCGGATCCGGCACAATCACCTTCTAAATCTGGCCTGCGGACGATCCAGGAATCAGCATGTTTTTACATGAGTAGAATGTGTCCTTTTCTTTACAATGCATCTCTGGGTTATTTGTGGGGCTTACCTGGTGTTTTTACATGAGTAGAATGTGTGCTTTTATTTAACATGCATCTCTGGGTTATTTGTGGGGCATAGGAATTCGTTCATTCTCCCCCCCCCCAAAATATAGTCTGGCCCCCCACAAGGGGGACAGTGGACCGGCCCCCTGCTGAAAAAGTTTGCTGACCCCTACTCTAGGTGGATTGTACATCTGGGTGAGATCTGCTCGCCTCTCCCTTTGCTGCCTTCACATAGCTGAGGTGGCCTTACGCAGAGCCACCACGACTCCCTGCTGCATAAGACTGTCTTTCATGCTGCGCTGGCAGCCAGAGCATCACTGAACTTTCCTTATCTCCCAGAATACTGTCCTTTCGGCCTGCTGAAGATAAGAGGCCTTGCTTCTCTGCCCTGCGATAAGAAATCCACCGCTTCCCCGGCCGCTGGCAAATGCCACCATCCAAGCCTTCTGCGACTGAGATAAACTTTGCCCCAAGTGCTGAATGGCTAGTTTGCCTTCAGCTGCATGATAAATGCAACATTTCCCCCCCTCCAAAAAAAAGAGGAGCAATTCCACACACACACACACTCCAACACCTCAACAAGCAAGAGACATTGTTGTTCTTTAATGAAATTTTATTAAGACTTTTCATAATACAATAAAAAAGAAACTAATCTAGACAAAAATTAAAAGAAAGAAAGAAAGATGCAAAGTCCTCTTTCACAGGTATATCTTAACCTTTGTTCAAGAAAGAAAAGGTGAGCTCCCACAGCCCTCACCTGGGAGCTTTCCTTTCTTCCCCTGGCCTCCCACCCTCGGAGATCTCCCCTTCCCATCCTCTTACACAGGGTCCTTCTCCAACAATCCATCACTTTCATCTGCGTGCAATTCCCTCCTTACCCCAAAGCAGAGGGCAACAACAGCAACACCAGAAAATAAATCAAAACAGAAGCAAGAACAGAGCAGAAAAGGAAAAGAACTAATAACAAAGATATAGGAATAATAAAGGAATGGAAAGATAATAAAAGAAAAATAGATAAGGAAAAGGAAAGAATACAAATAAAAAGGACTTCCAACTATCGAGTTTGTCAGTTATATATACAATATTTCTTCAAAATATTTGAAATGTTCATTCCAGGGTGGTGTCCAACTGTTCCTCCTTCTGCTAGGGGATCTTTTTCCAATACTCAATTCTGGACATCTCAAGTTCATTGTCCTACTACACAAAAAGTCTAAAAGAGGTTCTCTGAATACTATTATTGATAAAGGTTCATCATAGTCTTCCTCCAGTCCAACATAACAGCTTTGACTCCAGTACTGAGGAACCATACATGCTTGATCTTTATTCCCTCTTTCCCAAGAGACTTCTCCAAGAGACATTTTTGGAGTTCCTACTTGGTTGGGAGAGGGAGCAAAAAAGGGCAGGAACAGGGTGTTTGCAAGCTTTTTCGATTATGCGCAATTTCACCCATGCACGCAATGACCTGGAGCGCAATCCCTAAACAAACGGGGAGTTGCCTGTATACACACACTCCTCCCTCTTGCTCACTTCAGGTTAGGGACATTATTTTTCAGCTCTTTTCGTTCATCTGTCTTGCACAAGCTCCTCCTATTTTGTTAACCTAAAAGGAAGTCTAAAGTTTCTATCTTACCACCTTGTGGTACATGACCTTTAAACACACCCACATCTGAGCCCACCCCAGAGAACAACCCACCCACCATATGTGAGAGGAGGGAGTCTATGCATGTACAGGAAATACGGAAGCATGGGTCGGGGTGGGGGGAAACAATAGGTGGTAGGAAACAAAGCTAAAACCCTGCTACGGTGTCCCATAACACGCTTCTGAGATTTAAAAAAAAAACAGACTTGCAGCAGCAATTAGCTTGTGCCGTTTTGATCTCTGTCACATGTATAGATGATCTCTGCACTTGAAACTCCAAATTCATTTTTAAAAATTTATTTCATAAATTTGCTTGACTATAAAACAAAAACTTCAAAGCAGTTTACAAAAAATAAAACAGTAGAATCAAGAAAAAATTATGACCCAATTTTAAAACATACAAAAGTTAAACTACTAAAACAGACTAAAATCACCTCCGTTCCAAGAATGTTTTTGTTGTTGCTGTTGTTTAGTCGTGTCCGACTCTTCGTAACCCCATGGACCAGAGCATGCCAGGCAATCCTGTCTTCCACTACCTCCCGCAGTTTGGTCAAACTCATGCTGGTAGCTTCGAGAACACTGTCCCACCATCTCGTCCTCTGTTGTCCCCTTCTCCTTGTGTCCTCAATCTTTCCCAACATCAGGATCTTTTCCAGGGAGTATTCTCTTCTCATGAGGTGGCCAAAGTATTGGAGCCTCAGCTTCAGGATCTGTCCTTTCAGTGAGCACTCAGGGCTGATTTCCTTAAGAATGGATAGGTTTGATCTTCTTGCAGTCCATGGGACTCTCAAGAGTCTCCTCCAGCATCAAAGAGTACATTGAAGGCACCTGACTGATCTCAATGGGCAGGGAGTTCCAAAGTGCAGGTGCCGCCACACTAAATGAGTTCTGACAAATATGGAACGGGTATTGTGTGGCATTTGTAGTAGTGCTAATTCTGCCTATCAAACCAGTTGAGTGGGCATATGTGGGGTAAGGCAATCTTGTATGTAAACTGGTCCCAAGTTGTCAAGGTCTTTATATGCTAACAATAACCCCTTGATGTTGACCTGGGAGCAAATCGGCAACCAGTGGAGATCTCTGCGCACAGGTGTTATATGCTGGCAAGGCCTCACTTCTGTCAGCAATCATGCTGCTGCAATCTGTAATAACTGCAGCTCCCAGATCAAGCATGGAAGAGTTTGATGCAAAATGATGGCCAAGGTATTTAACGGCATAGCTGCTAAACAACTGGGATCTACTGCAAACCACCCAGAGATCTACCAGTAGATATCGCTCTAGCTTTTGTTCACCCGTGGCCTAGGTCAGGTGAAACTGTCCTATCAAGTGCATAGGCTAAAATTTGGATTGCTTAGGCTCCAGGAACTGAACTGTCAGCCATGCAACTTTATCTCCCAATCTAATTGGGAGACATAGCATTTTGCCTTATCTTTACAATTCCTCTCCAAACAGCAGGCAGAATGATCTTGTATCTTAGCCCTAAGCACCACAGCACTGAGATCAACCCCCCTGCCTATTCTTTAACAGTACAGTGGTACCTCAGGTTAAGAACTTAATTCGTTCTGGAGGTCCATTCTTAACCTGAAACTGTTCTTAACCTGAGGTACCACTTTAGCTAATGGGTCCTCCTGCTGCCGCGCAATTTCTGTTCTCATCCTGAAGCAAAGTTCTTAACCCGAGGTACTATTTCTGGGTTAGTGGAGTCTGTAACCTGAAACGTCCGTAACCCGAGGTACCACTGTAAATGGCAACATTGCCACCCCCACCTCACTCCAATGCTGGGGTGGGAAGAGATGTTGCATTTTACTCTTAGTGCTAAGTCTGAAGATAAAAAATCCCTGTGACTGCTCATTAGATATTTTATAAAGTACAACTGTATGTGCACACATGTGCATAAACATCGGCCAATATTTTGCTACAATTTATATCATTATGTACAGACATTGTGCTATATCACACATTGTGCTCACAATTTCATCTCTATGCATTCTCACTTTCCATTAGGGGTATGAGAGAGGGAAAACACTTCCCCCAGCTTTTGTGTCCAGATTTTCACTTTTTGAAATACGTCAACCCTATCACACTGCCTCTAACTTGCCTTTTCTCTAAACTAAAAAGTACCAAACTCTGCAACTTTTCTTCATAGGGGTGGCACTTTTCTGAATCTTTTCCAATTACACAATATCCTTTTTGAGGTGAGGAGACCAGGACTGTACACAGTACTCCAAATGGCATTATGATACTGACAGTTTTATTTTTCAGCTCCTTTCCTAACAATCGCTAGCATGGAGTTTGCCTTTCTCACAGCCACCGTACCCTGGGTCCATTATCATTATCTGCCACCTCCACCTCACATCCCCATGGGCGTGTACGTGAAATTAATATTTTTTGCTCCAACAATATTTTAATCTATGTTTCCACTGAGCTGGAGCAAATGGTCCTTTCAGTTTTATAGTAAGGTACCACACACTTACAACTATCGCAGGCATATATCCATATTGCAGAGCTGCTTCTGACACAGGGCGTGAAGCGACGAGCACGCGCGCCACCTAGTTGCCTTTAAACCGGGCTCTCCTGCCAATTATGAACTACAATTCCCAGCATGCCACAAGATGCCACAAGATGCGCATGCGCTCCAACCTCCTGTCTAAGGAGTCAGTTTCGACGGACGCGTCAGTTTACTGACAAGGCCTCCGGCCAATAGGAAGTTGCCAACTCCCAATTCGTTACAGCCGCCCATTGGGCTCGCCCTTTCTACTAGACAGACAGGCCTCTAGTCAAATCCGTGTTGCGGAATGCCTGACTGGCCAATAAAAGGGTGAAGTATCCGGTGAGGGGCGCGGCTTTCGAACCAACGGAGAGGAGGAAGCGCCGACAAGTGACTGACAGCAGCACAGCCCAATGGGCCATCGACACCGTCCAATCGGCGCCGGGAGCCGCCTATTTCGCCCTCCCTTCCCCTCCCCTCGCCGAGGTGGGTAGCAACAGTTGCCCCGGTGAGGGAACACGGAGGGCGCCATAGCCACCGTAGTCGTGGCGACCAGGAAACCCGGCAACAACAACAACAACCGCCCACCCTCTCTTCCTCAGCGCGATTCCCGCCAAAATCGAGAAAGGGCACGACAGCCGCGACTCCGTCCCCGCCCTCCCCCTGAGGGGACGCGGCCTCGCGGGGCCGGGACGGTCCAGGTGGGTCCGAGTCCGTTTCCCCTCCTCCCCCCCCCCACCGCTGCAAAATGGCGGGGCCTGCGCTCCCGCTTGACTCCCCGAGGCAGCCGAGGAGGGTGAAGCGAGTGAGCGGCGGCTTTTCTCCGGGCTTTGGCCCCCGCGGCGGCGGCCACTCCAAGCAGGGCTCGTCGGGAAAGGGCCCAGGCCCTGACAGGAGGGGCTTCGGCGCTCCGCAGTGATTGGTGGGCGGGCGGACCAATAGGCGCTGGCTGAGGCCCTGAGATTAGCCAATCGAGTTTACGCGGAGGCGGGCGTCGACTGCTCCCTCATAGACACGGAGAGAAAAACAGTGACTCACGGACGCGTCATGGCGTCGCAGTGACGTCAAGTGGAGTAGGTTTTTTTTTCCTGTTTGGTTAAAAATGAATGTGACGTCGCACAGCAGTAATAAATGAATAATAATAAAAAAATCACTGCCTCCCTTCGTGGTTAAATATCAATGGGTAGTAGTAACGGCACAGAATTCAGAGAGTACTCTACAGTGATGTAAAGCAAAACATTGGTGCCTTTATGGTGTTTTGGGAGGAATGATGTCATAGTGACTCCATAAGTGAGATTTTTATGGGAAGAGTCCATAGGTTAGTAGATAAAGGGATTCTGAAGGTTCAGGATTCAATCTCTAATTTAAAAAGAACCTCAAGCTTCTGAAATATTGGCTGCCTGGGGCCTTAGAGAGCTGCAGTTAGGTGATGGTTAGTACTGACCTAAAGATGTACCAGTGGCCTCCCCAATTATGAGTCAGTTACTTATATTTGACACATATTAAAGGGCTGGAAGGCTATATCTCAGTACAGAGAAAGGACCTGCTTTCTATGCAGAAGTTATTACGTTCAGTCAATGGCATCTCCCATTAAGGGATCATAGATAGTCTGAGAAAGATTTTGAGAACTGAAGTGAGTGTGGGTAGGCATTAATGGTCTTATTTGTGCTTGTTCACAATAAACAGACTTGTTGCTACTTCAAACGAGCACTTTTAATAAATTTCTACCTGGCTTGGTCAGTCCTGGTTGGGAGGGCAAGAGCAAGAGCACACCATAACTTCCTGATTCAGATGCAATTGGGAACTAATTGAAGTGTTGTGTCAGAGGGGACAAGGAAGTGCATCAGCATAGGGTTTGTTCCCATCCAGGTTTATGGAATGTTTGGAACTGATATATTCTCAGCATCCAGAGGCTACTTAAAATAGTGAACCTTTTGGCTGCCTTGTGTTGTTTATATGAAAAAGCAGAGTAGAAATTTAAAAATAATTAATAAACATGTAGTTGTCCTCCTTGGGCATTTGACCTGTATCCCCTGAAGAGCAACTAATGGGCTGTTGAGGGTGGGAGGAGCTGAAGCTGCCATATCTACTTTTCCTGGTCCTTTCTTTTGGACTGGATTATAATATTGGACTTCAACATGACTTATGGTTCTTCCTGTTACAGGCCAGTTAGGCCTGTAGCCCAATTGTTTACATGCTAAAGGATACATTATATTTTCTAGATGATGTGACTTGGGTATGTATGAGAATTTTTCCATCCCCCCGTGTCCCAAAATGTATTAATTATATGCCATCAAAACACTCTTTTATCTTGAGTTCAACTAACAGCCGAAAACCAGCAGCTGAAATCACATTGTTACTTGCTCATAGCAGCTGCTGCAGGGACAGAAATTACAGCGAGTCAGTTATATGACAGCCCAGGTTGTAGATCCAACCAAACATGGTTGCAACCCAGAAAAGATGGAATTTGTGCCGTGTGGGCAGGGCTGTCACGTGGAAGCTGCAGCCAGGACAGCCATAGCACACAGCTTTAACTTTAGCTCCTAATTGATTGATTCCTTCCTTCCATTAAGTGGTGAAGGCAAAATTTTGGAGGCCTAAGACAGTGTCCTGATATATTAAAGAATCTGATAAATGTATTCTTCTGACTATATGGCATGATGTATTGTTGCCCAGATACCGGTGTGATTTAAAATACTATTCAGTTATTGTATTGGGAAGGAGGTAAGTTTTAGTATACAGCAACTGTATTCTTTAGACCAAGAGTAGACTCTGGAATACTTTCAGACAGCATCCTGCCAACAAAACTGAGACAATTCAGGAAAATATGGATAAAGACTCATTGTGCCTGGAAAAATGTGCTTATTTTGGCACTAGTTCAGGTAAGCTGGGAATGGATTTTAACTTTCTGTCTCCATTTTCCAGTGATGTACATTTGCCTTGGCTCCTGGCCTATAATATCTGTATACGTTTCAATGCAGGAATTTAAAATTCTCTGCGTGAGAAGGCATATGATAATGGTGATAATGAAATGTTGTATAGTATCTCAAAAACAAGACAAGCTACTAAGAATGCAAGGAGAACACAGTGACAGCCTTTTTCATTCCTAACCTTTCTCTTGTCCCGAGGGAATGTTACCAGCTTTTCAACTGTATCTTTAACAACAGCCGGAGATGTAGGCATTAGGTGGTGATAATGCTTATCTCTATGCCTTGGGAAACTTAACCTGCAGATATGTGTACAACAAGCCGCTGTTGGCACAAGAGCAGTTCATACTTTTTGATCAGTTGGCAACCCTATCAATAGGGGTGCCCATTCTGCCTTGGAAGGTCACTAGTTCCACAGCTGAGGAGTTCTAGTTTGTGCTCTAAGAGAGCCTTCCCTAAAATCAAAATTTTTCTGTTTCACATTCAGCCCAATTTTAAGCACTTCTACTTGACAGTAAACCTACTTGCTTTTAGTGATATTTGCTTCCAAATAAGTCAGTGATGTGATGCAGAAATTTTTCTAGTGCTTTATTTTCTCTTTGATGAGTTCATTAATAACAATAAATGGATGTCAGTTGCAAATAAATATTTGGCAAGCTTTTCCATTTCAAAGTTGTAAGCTATTTTGCTTGGATTTAGTCAACAAAAACACTCTCTGAGGCAACAGAAAATTCCTAGTGTGGTGTGTTTTGCAAATTTGGTGAGCATCCCCTCTATGCCTTCATCCAAGTTATTTATAAAGATACTGAACAACAACAGGCCCAGGACAGCATCCTGCAGCACCCCACTTGTCACTTTTCCCCTGGAATGACGAGAAACCATTGGTGAACACTCTTTGGGTTCAGTCAGTCAACCAGCTAAAAATCCACATAGAACCTAGGGCAGGCATAGGCAAATTCGGCCCTCCAGATGTTTTGGGACTACAGTTCCCATCATCCCAGACCACTGTCCTGTTAGCTAGGGATCATGGGAGTTGGAGGCAAAAAAACAGCTGGAGGGCTGAGTTTGCCTATGCCTGACCTAGGCCCTGGAAATAATCCTCTGTCAGCAGCAGTGCCAAATGTATTGGTTGCCTGTGGTCTTGCACAGCTCCTGTTCATTCAGTTGGAGTTTGTGTGATTTCTCTCCCCCCCCCCCCAGTGGATTATGCCAAAAACATTTCCGAAAAGCTCTCTGTCTAGAATAATGTCATTCCTTGCTTTGGACGGAGACCCTTTTGAGCCCTTTTGAACATGTGTGTCATATACAGCAAGACTAAACCTTTCAGTTTAATTTCAAGTTTGAGGACATTAATGGCACTTTTTAGCATTACTAGAAAAAGTAGTCTTGCGTCATCTCCACGGTTCATGTTGTATGTGGGTTTCTTCAGACAATTTCCATGAGGCGGTGGAAGCCCCTGAGGCAGTGCCCTTGTGGGCGCCCTATCTACCCTGCTGCTGCTTGAGAAGCAGTATTTTCAGTGAGATCTTGCGGAGCACACAAGCTCTCATGAGAATTCTGTGAAATTGACACCAGTGCAAGTGGTGGGGTGGGTGGTGGGGGACAGCAGCAGGGCAGGGGGGCATTTCCTGTTTCACCTCCAGCAGCGAAATGGGATGCAATGTCCCTGGTTTCTTCTTAAACCCTAAAGAAATGGGGATGTTGTCTGCATTCAGACATCTGTGTTCCTTCTCAGAGATGGCTGCATTTCAAGAGGTAAATCCAACAAGTGACATAGATATGGTTACTCTGCTGCCAAGTCATGTTTGACAGTCAGTGCAGGATTGCTTCCCCTCTCTTTCTGTATAATGATACCATCAGCTGCAGGCCAGAGAGTACTTCCTGTTCCCCCTCCTGTTTGTGGAGTTCTGTGGATAGGAATAGTTGCTTGTTTTATGAAAAGGAGAACATGGTTGATGTGAGAAGCAAGAGTCAGCAGAGCCTCTGAAGCTAGCAACTTGCCGAGAGTTTGCGCTTCAAATATAATGGACCATATCTGCCAGTGGGAGACTTGAGTACACAATTCTGATTGGGATCAGGCCCAGTTGTTCTTCGCTGTGACTCTCTGAATCTAAAAACAGCCGGGTCGTTTCCAAGTTTGGCTTGTTCCAAAAGGAGTGACCAAGTGTATTGGAACCTTTGGAATGTAGCTTAAGCAGAGAACTGCGCTGTGGATGACATGATCCTGTCTCTCTTGACTCCATTGGCATGAAGGTAACGTCTAGCTACCAGCACATTTCCAAAGGGGAGAAAAGTCGGATACTTGTTTGGAACTAGGACTGAAAAAACTTGGTCAGATTCCCAGCAGCCTCCATCATGGTTTTAGGCATCAGCCCTGTACAGGGCTGAACAAAATATACTTAGAATTGAATGAGTATTGACATTTTACTCGCACTACTTTCATAGCATACCGGAAGAAAGAGTTTGGATTTAAGTATAGAACTATGAAAAACATAGTGGTATTAGAGAGCTGCTGTCGCTCAGAGTAGATAGTCCTGGGCTACAGGGGACTAGTGGTCTGACTCAAAATAAGTCAGCTTCAGATGTACATAGCCAACAGGTTGCCAAACTCTGTAACTCAAAATAATATTAAGATTGTTTTGCACATTTAATTGAGGATAGAAAAATTGAGGAAGGCAGCTTTATCCCAGACCTTACAGTTTTTACCAGTAGATTCTTGGAAACTTGACAGCTCAGAGGCAAGACTTGAAGCCATAAATAACCAGTAGCAGACAGAGAGGCGAAGTGATTTCTCACTTCACCTGACTTCTGGTTGCCTGTGTGGCTGCTGTGATGAGGTAAGTGTGGTGAAATCCTATGCTCCTGCTGGTGGGTTTGCACTACACTGACCTCACTGCCATCTTGCCTTTCCCTTCTCTGCCCCAGTATCCAGCATCAATGTGAGTGACGAGGTCTGATGAGTACTGCTGCCTCACCCTGCTTTCTGCTGCTGGAAATACCAGTGCTAATAAGACAGCCACTTTGCCCATACAGTTAAGTACACAGCAGTTTCTTTCCCCCATATTATAACTAGCTGGATGGGAGTGAGGAAAATTGAGTTTCATTATTTTACAAAAGCTTCCTTACCTGGTTATCTAGGAATAATCATTGCAGGGGCCCACACAGGTGGCTGCTTACAAGTCTGAGTCATATTTCTCATACCGTGTTCCAACTAGAGTCCATTGAAGAACACATTTTAAACTGGGCTCCCAATCCTTGTGTAAAAATAGGCAAAATTCTCATTTTGTGACATACATGCTACACTTTCAATTCCAGAGGAGGCCAGATCACCCACTAAAAAGAAATGATCCCTTCCAGTGGCAGCTGCCCTAACCTGGATCTCATTGCAGCACCAAGTCCACTGCATCTCCAGGAGCAATGCTGAATCAGTCAAGCTGGACATTTCAAGAGAACAGTATTTTCAGTCTTGGTGTTTGAACTGCTAAGTGTCTTCTCCCTTCTGCCAAGTGCAGATGGAGCAGCTCTGTGTCACTATGGTTGTAAGGAAAAGTCTGTACCATGGAAGAAAATAAATAGGCCACAGGAAGAATGGTCTCCTGCTGGCAGTGATTACTATAAGATAGGGTTGCCATATTTCAAGCAGTGAAAATCTTTTTGTTTTGGGAATTTGAAGTTTTTGGCTATTTTTAAGGAAATTCAGCAAAATCTAGACTTCCGACATGGGTTGCCATACGTCTGGATTTTCCAGGACATTTCAGCATTTTCCACCCAGATATTCCTTCCGACTGTTGTATTCCGGCTATGTCCAGGAAATTCTGGATGTATGGCAATAAGAAGGAAAATGTATACTGTTGAAGAGATTCACTACAGGAGTAACTGCAGGAGCACTTGTTTTTCCTTGGCTCTCTATGTAAAGCTATGTCACAAATAGTGAGAGTTGGCCTGCAGTCATCCAGGACTAGCAATTTCTTGAGGCATCAGCCTCAATTTCTATAGTACAGGATGCCAATTTCTGGGTTTTTTAAGTCAACTGGCCTCTGGCATTGACCTTGAGGAGTAGTGCACCATTCAGATGGAACTGTCTTCTTTCTTACATTCCACAAAGGCTGCAGTTTTTTGTTTGCCCCCCCCCCCCCAGGCACAGATAGATACTAGAAAGCTAGTACAGTCATACCTTGGAAGCTGAATGGAATCTGTTCTGGAAGTCTGTTCGACTTCCAAGGCGCAGCTTCCGATTGGCTGCAGAAGCTTCCTGCAGCCAATCAGAAGATGTGGAAGCCCCGCCGGATGTTCAGGTTCCAAAGAACGTTCGCAAACTGGAACACTCACTTCTGGGTTTGCGGCATTTGGGAGCCAAAACGTTCTACTGCTAAGGCATTTGTCAACCAAGGTACGACTGTATACTTTTGCACCAACTACACTAATGGATCCATTGAAAAACAGTACACTTTTTCTTGTGCTCGTCAAGATACCCTTAAGATGCAAAGTAATAACCATAATTCACACACTTCAGAGAACATTTTCTGCATAGACCGGCTCTCTAATACATTATTCTGCACATGTTGTTCTTATTCACACACTACCTTGTTAGCTGTGTACCTTAAAAAGTGTGACGTGTTCCTGACACTGGCCAGGACTGGTTAGTCATCCTGTTGTCAACTGAACCAGTGCCTGGATGCAACCAGGATGTTGAACCAGTTCTTGAATGCACTCATATTGAGGGGATAAGAATTACTAGACTGAAGCTGAATCCTGCTAGGACAGAGACACTGTGGGTAAGTGGTTTTCATGTCCGAGAACTGGGAAGCCTGCCTGTTCCAGAAAGGGTTGTGCTCCCTCTGAAAGAACAGGTAATCAGTTTAGGCCTGCTTTTGAAACCATCTTTGCCCATAGAGACTCAGGTGGCCTCTGTGTTGAAGAGCACCTATCATCTGCTTCAGTTGATGTGTCAACTGCATCCTTTCCAGGACAGGGATAACTTGGCCACTGTGACACATACGTTTGCAACCTCATGTCAGGAGTATTGTAATACACTCTGTGTGGGGCTTCGCTTGCAGCTGATCCAGAATAGTGCAGCCTGGGGGTTGCTCTTTATTCAGCATGCCGGTGCTGAGGAATCTGCCCTGGCTGCCTATTAGCCACAGAGCCAGTTTATTACTTACATACAAAGCCCTAAATAACTCTGGACCAGGTTACAAAAAAACCTGCCTTCCTGTTCATCACCCAGTAAGGGCACTATGATCAGCCAGTGGAATACAGTTTTGCCATGGCCTGATGATTTTGACTTATGTTAACATAGGGGTAGACTTTTTCCACTAGTGGCACAAGTGTTTTGGAATGCTTCCTTGCTGAAATACCAGAGTCCCCCTCAGTGTGGGCATTCTTCCAGCTCCTGAGGGGGAAAAAACTGTTTAGGCAAGCATTTCCCTAAGCAGAAATTGTGATTTTATTGTTTTAACTGTTCTGTTTTTCAATTGTTCATTTAATTGTATATTTTAATTAAATATAATTTTATTGCTATTTTAATTATGGGTTGATTTTATAGTTGTAAACCACTTAGAAGATATTTTGGCATATAAGCAATACAGTGGTACCGCAGGTTAAGTACTTAATTCACTCCGGAGGTCCGTTCTTAACCTGAAACTGTTCTTAACCTGAAGCACCACTTTAGCTAATGGGGCCTCCTGCTGCCGCCGGAGCACAGTTTCTGTTCTCATCCTGAAGCAAAGTTCTTAACCCAAGGTAATATTTCTGGGTTAGCAGAGCCTGTAACCTGAAGCGCATGTAACCTGAAGCGTATGTAACCTGAGGTACTACTGTATATAAATTAATAAACGAGAATAACAAATAATAATGTAAACCAAAGGTGTGTCTTAAAATACCCACTTGCATTCCCCTAAAGCTTCAGATTAAAAGTGAAGATTGGCAGTGGTGGGCAGCTATTTGCCCGAGAAACTGTTTTTTATTGATTTATTGTACCATAGAATTCCTGAGTTTCCTGGAGGAGTTTGAAAACCACTGTGGTGTGATATAAAACATAAAGGGCATCTGATTTCAGCCCTAAGCAAAGCAATAAGAATGGTCTGAGTGTTTTTTTGACTGTAATAAGAACAGATATGACTAAAAATAAAAATAGCACAGCTTATTTGGTGTAGTTTGTTGTCAGTAAGGGGACTTAGCCCAGATGTACCTCCCTTTTTGGGTTGTTCAGTACTAATTCAGAGGAATGCTTTTCCATAAATTAAGCCTATTTCTTTTCTATGTTTAATTTTCTTTGCATGTTTAATTTTCATCATACCCAGTTAGTAGATCATTGTAGTGCCTGGTGCACTTGAATTGCCCATTGTTCTTCTTGATAAGATGCTTCTCTGCTCATTACCAAGTGTTGGGCTATTGCCATTTGTTTCTTGGGTCCTGTTATTAGGGTTACACTGCCTCTGAAGGAGCAGGTACACAATTTGTGGGTACTTCTCAATCCATTGCTGTGACTTGAGGCTCAGGTGGCCTCAATGGCTCAGAGTGCCTTCCATCAGCTTTGGCTGGTGCCCCAGCTACGCCCCTGTTTAGACAGGGATAGGCAAACTTCTGTTGTCTGTGCTCTGGTAACCTCTAGGTTAGATTACTGTAACGTGTTATACATTGGGCTGACTCTGAAGACACTTTGGAAACTTCAGCTGGTGCAGAATTCAGCAGCTGGGGCGAGACGATTTGAGTATACAGTGGTACCTCGGGTTACATACGCTTTAGGTTACATACGCTTCAGGTTACATACTCCGCTAACCCAGAAATAGTGCTTCAGGTAAAGAACTTTGCTTCAGGATGAGAACAGAAATTGTGCTCCAGCGGTGCGGCAGCAGCAGGAGGCCCCATTAGCTAAAGTGGTGCTTCAGGTTAAGAACAGTTTCAGGTTAAGTACGGACCTCCGGTACTTAAACCGAGGTACCACTGTATAACACCAATCCTGGCCAGACTGCACTGGCTACCAATTAGTTTCTGGTCCTAATTAAAAGTGCTAGTTTTGACCTATAAAGCCTTAAGTAGCTCAGGGCTGCAATACTTAAAGGACCACCTTTCCTCACATGAACCGACCCAGACCCTGTAACTATCAGCCTTTTCTGCAGTGGTTCCCCATTTGTGGAATATTCTCCCAGGGAGGTTTGGCTGGTGCATTCACCTTTAGACTCCAGGCGAAAACATTCCTCTTCAACCAGGCCTTTGACTAATTAAACAATCTATGACCTTTTAAACTGGAGGTGAATGGGTGGGTATTGTTTCTGTTTGTTACTATGCTATGTAATTTTGTGTTTTTATATTTTAATAATCCTGGAGATTGTACAGCTTGTGATTCAGTCCTCAGTTTCTCGTATCTGACATGGGCTAAATAAGTTTGCTACTGGTAGAATACTGAATTTCGGAAAGTTGTGAATGTGAAATACGACTTGTACGGCCATTCAGAATACACTTGAGTAAATGCAAAGTGGTGTTCTCTGGTCTCCCAGATTTCTAGGCAGATCTTCTGCAGCATACCTGTTGCCACTCTTTGCTGTAATTGGCTGCATTTAGGTATTAAGCATGGTGTGTTATTAAGTTAGTGTTCAGTGAATAGAACTGTACGGAGCTTTTTCTGTCTATGGAATGCTTTATAATTGATTAATTTTTCCTTCTTTTTTGTTTTTATTTGTTTTTCCTCTTTTTTTTCTTCACCGAAAGGAAGCAAAAAAAAAGCCTTATTTATTATCATTTTCCCCACTGTTGGCATGGCAACACAGGCGTACGTTACAGAATTACAGGCAGCGCAACAACAGTCACAACAGCAGCAACAGTCACAGCAACAGCCAGCAGCAACAGTGGCCACAGCAGCACCTGTGGTGGTGGCAGCAGCTCAGCAACAATATGTGGCAGAATTGCAAAGTGCGCAGCAGCAACAGCCTGCTTCGAAACAGTATGTCTCGGAAATCCCACCTCCCCAGACACAGGCTCCACCTACTGGGCAACAAACACCAACGCCAGCCCCACAGCAGTACATAGTAGTAACTGTTTCTGGTAAGTATGTGTGCGGCAAGGGGGAAAGGGTGTATCCTGGTACCTGAACGGGTGAAGCATTTTACAGCCTGCAAAGGAGGCAAGTAGTCTGTAGAAAAATCCAGGGTCCTCCACTGACTCTGTCATCACAAAACAGTCACCTGTGGCAGAGGAGAGAGTTCCGTCAGCAGCTATTTCTTGAACCCAATCAAGGCATAAGCTTGTTGGTCTTCTCTTGAAAACTCAAGAATGGAGATCCCACCACATTCCTAGACAACTTGTTTGATTGATCAGCTACTTCTAATGTGTGTGTGTGTGTGTGTGTGTGTGTGTGTGTGTGTGTAATTCCAACTCTACAATTCTATGAAATTGTCCTCAAATAGCTACCTTAAATTTGCCTTTGAATGATTTGCATCCCATTGCTTCCTATCCTGTCCTCAGTGGGTACTTGGGGGTGGGGGGGAGAGAAACACAGATGGTTGTCTTTTGGTAGTTTTTTGGCAAAACCAGGTCTGTCTAGTCCTGAGAGATATGTGCAAATAGCATTAACTTACTTGTTTTGGAACTTATTCATTATAGGCTCGGTATAGGCCCTTCTTTCTGTGTGAGACCCCCCATTTAGAGTGCACAATTTTAACTGTATTTAAATATATCTCCCAGATCATCTTGAAAGCTTAGAGCAATAGAGCAAGTGTGTGTGTGTGTGTGTGTGTGTGTGTGCATGCATCCATGTGTTTGTAAAATAGTTCCAACTGATTACTAGCTTAAACCTGACTCAAAAGTCAGGTTTAGTAAAAAAAAAGTTATTTCTTTGTGCTCATAAAAAGGATTGTCAGGCTCAATGTTTGATGGGTCTTAAAAGGAAGGTTATTTTCTAGAGGTTTTTTGGCAACCATTATGAGCAGCTCTTTCCACCTGTCAACCTTTGCTTTTCAAACATTGAATGAATTTTTTTCCATAATAGTTCATAGGTTCAGGACATCTTTTCTCAAGTGGTCCTTCTCAGGCTGTGGCTATGCAGTATTATTTGCACCCTTCGTAACACCTAATTTGAACTGGCTTGTCATCTGAACACTGTGCATGCCAGCTTTCCTAGGCTTATTATCTGCACCAAGCCAGGGGTTCTCAAACTGACTATTAGAGCCAGTATGGCGTAATGGTTAGAGTGTTGGACTATGACCTGGGAGACCAGGGTTTGAATCCCCCCTCAGCCATGAAGTTCATTAAGCATCCTTGGGCCAGTCACCATCTTTTAACCTAACCTACCTCACAGGGTTGTTGTGAGGATGAACTGGGAGGGGGGGGGAAACCATGTACACTACCTCAAGCTCCTTGGAAGAAATGGTGGCATGTAATAGTGGTACCTGTGGGGGTCCTGTCACTCAGCACAATAGTTCTGCATCCTTATCTTCAACTATCTGCAACATAGCATGCATCAACAAATTGACAAAACACCTTAACTGGCACTTTTAAATGTATTTGTTGGTGTGAATGAGAATTTGAAGAGCAAGGAGCTTCTAGGGCACCTTGGTTGCAGCTCGTCTCGCTTTAGCAAGATTTTGGAAAGACCTAATGGGCAATGAGTTCAAACTGGCATGGCAGAGTCCGGCATACTTCTCTTTCAGAAAAACTTACCTCTAAGCTTCGATTTCCACGTGGGCATACAAAATTGGACAATTTTGTAGTAACATGGTATAACTTTAAAACCTATGTCAGCAACAAGATAATTGGATATCGGACCCCCATCGCAATATGCTAAAATTTGGAATGCTTAAAGTTGCATCAGGATTTCAGCCCCTGCTTACCTGACTTTCTGATTATATGGTTTTTCCTGTCTTTTTAGTTGTCATTTATAAGCTGCCAGCACTCTTTTCTTTTCTCAGTTGTCATAGAAAAGCACAGCTGTCAGTCCACAAAAGGTCATGATGTTGGCAATGTTTTAAAATTTAGGTCCTTTTAAAATTCTGTAAATTCCATAAATAAAGCATAAAAGATGCCCTACTCCACCCACAAAAGTTCTGCAGGTCAGCCTACTGCTTTTCAAGACAGAATAATAGGTATTTTAAAAAATATATCCAGTAAAGGAACCAGAACAGAGATATGCTGGCTGCACAGGTCTAATAACAGAAAAAGCAGCCATTTCCTAATCTTGGCTCTGGTGCAGATCCATAAAGGAGGGTCAGTAGCCTCACTTCAGGGGAAAAAAACCCCCCTGTAGGTTAATAAATTAGAATGTATATACAGAGTTGCAGTTGATAAAAGAGTTTTGCAGAATTCTTTCTGGCTCCAGCATCAACAATGAAGATTTGCATTTAGAACTTAAGTGTGGCAATGAGAATAGAACCCAGCTTAGTCTTCCGCAGCAGGTCTTTGCTGTCACTAATCAGTTTTTTATGATTGTCAGTGAAATTATCTACATATTTTTTTAGTTATTCTGGTCTATAGTCTGCATCCAGTCTACTGGGAGACATGACATGAACTCTGCATCAGAGCTCTGCGCAGGCCTACTGATCAGTGGTGAGATTCTAGCCAATTTAAATGGGAGAGGTTCAAGCACATACTGAACGCTTCCACTTTTATGTTAATGATACTTGAAAACGTTTAACTATCACTGGATTGTGCCACAAATAGGCATTTAGAGCTGAGCTCATTGATTGCTACAGCATATTGCATTGGACTTTCCACACTCTGTTTCTTGCCATGGGCACTCAGGGAGATCCGACTAAGCGGGAAAATCTCTGTAGCCATTTTCACTGAATGTTTTGACCTGCTTGGTGGAAGAAACACATGACTAATATTGCCTTCCATGGCACTTAACTTGTACAACTCTAGACAAAGGTGATCAGTACAAGCCATACATTATGTGATCTGCTCCACTTCAAGGGTGTTCATGTCCTTGTACAAAAGTGTGTGTGTGTGTGTGTGTTTGGCAGAGCTGGCCCAAGATATTCTGGTTGCTGAGGCATAAAATGCACTGCCATCTGCTAATTAACATGGGATACAATCCTCTAGGAAGTTCTTCTGTGCATGCTTCATTAAAATGCATAGAGGTTGCACAGACATTGTGCTTGATGGGTCATGTCTGTCATGTCTTCAATTGTGCTATCTTACTGGCTCGTAGGATCAGTTGTGTTGCCTTGCTTCCTGGTGGAGCCTTCTCCATATCTTAAGAAGGCAAGGCAAACAGCCAGATAGAATTCCTGCTGTCTTTCGTAGTGTAATGCAGCACTTCAGCTGGCCTGAAATACGATCCAAAGAAACCTGGACTGCTTCTGATTCTAATCAGGTAGCTCCTAAGCTGCAGAGTGAAGTTGTTTGATTTGCCTTGTGGTTGAGTTTTTTCCAGAGAGTGTAGATTTCCATATGTATGGAAAGCAACTGAAAAAACTGGCAGAATTCAACTTCACACTATTGAGTCCTGTTGAAATATTGAATGTCTGTTGGATTTGGTGTTTTCTCCCAGTTCTAGTCTTTCCTTTCAGTCAGTAGAGCTGGAAACTCTGCTGGATTTTTTAAGCGAAGGTTCATGTGATCCTTTAAAAAATAGTATATTCTCACCAGGATCCAGACTTGGAACCTGTTTTCAGTATCAGGGTCTAATCTTAGAAGAAGTGAAGGAGTATTGAAGGAAAGTGCCTCTAAGCATGAACAGAGTATAGATGAGGGAAGCAGGTATTTTTGTGAGTTCAGAAAATGTTTGATATTGGTTGCATTTTGCCTGTTTCACATTTCTACATTTTTCTCCCTGCTGCTATCCCTTCTGTTTCTACTTAAGTGGACAGCTCTTTTCATACACTGTGTCAAAACTGGACAAGAAGGCCAGGAGGTAAATGGACAAGAGAGGCTCTGCACATAGACAGTCACAGAGAGAGTCATTCCTAGTCAGTTCAGGCAAAACTGGGCTAAGCAGAACAATGGCCTATTGCAGTTTAAAGCAGCTTCATATGTTTCAGCAGTGGAGTGGAATAATATTTGACCTTGCCTCATGGGGAAGGGCCAAAGCTCATTGGTAGAATACATGCTTTTCAGAGGGAAGCCCACAGGTTCAATCCCTGGCAGCTCCAGTTAAAATAATAAAGTAGCAGGTGATGAGGGAAGTCCACTACTTGAAATCCTGGAGATTCATGAAGTCATGACAGTACTGGATTTCACCTGGTACAAGACAGCTTCTTCCTTTCCTCTTATTTGAGAAACTGAGTCTCGAACAGATCTCTGGGTTTTTAAAATCTTTCTTTTCAGGCACCACTATTAATCGTCTTCTTTCTTGCTTTGTATCCCATAAGTGACCACTGGGCAAATTATATGCTTGTGCTAGTTTAGAAAACAGAAAACACAACCTCTCTCAATTTATATTTACTTGTTGGCCAGTTAAAGGTAAAGGTAAAGGTACCCCTGCCCGTACGGGCCAGTCTTGACAGACTCCAGGGTTGTGCGCTCATCTCACTCTATAGGCCGGGAGCCAGCGCTGTCCGCAGACACTTCCAGGTCACATGGCCAGCGTGACAAGCTGCATCTGGCGAGCCAGCGCAGCACACGGAACGCCATTTACCTTCCCGCTGGTAAGCGGTCCCTATTTATCTACTTGCACCCGGGGGTGCTTTCGAACTGCTAGGTTGGCAGGCGCTGGGACCGAACGACGGGAGCGCACCATGCGATCGGCAAGTCCTAGGTGCTGAGGTTTTACCCACAGCGCCACCCGCGTCCCTTGTTGGCCAGTTACATTGTCTGAATTTATCAGCTTTTAAAAATCAATCCATTAATATTAAAGTCGCATTTTTTATAAGTTGTCAGAATTATTATTCTTATTATTCTTTTACTCTGCTGCTGTTATAACATGTGCTTTGGACAAAATCAGAGATAACAAAAGAGTAAGGTGATATCTTCTGCTGATGTAGGGATATGCAGGGTTTCGAGTTACACTGACCTGTTCATTCAGCAAATGGAAGAAAGCCACTAATTTTCAGCTACACTGAAAAACATTGCCATTATTGCCACAAACATTGCCATTATTGTTTTTCAGGTTTTTCAAATCCTAGTTAAATTATGTCCTTCAACTGAGTTGCCAAAGTGTGTACCTCATTAAATGATGGCTAGTGGTGGTATTCCAAAATCCATATCAGGGCAATACCCTTATTTGGCTGATAAAATATATCCCCAAATAGTGTGCAAGCTTTTGAGTTCTCCAGCTCTACATTGGGCTAGATGCTAAACAAAATCATGGAAAGTGAAGAACAAACAAACAAACAAAAGTCTTATGTTGAAGCTATGGAGTCCACCTGGTCACAGTATTAAGACGATGTTTCAACTAAGGATGGATACAGACCAGAGCGGCAGTACACATTAGCCTAGAAAGAAAAATGGAAAATTAAAGCAGGCAACAAGCTTCCAGAAAATATAGTGAAAAGAACACAGAGATGCTTGATAATCTCTTTCTCTTTTAACAAAATGACAATGTCAGCAAACCATGGTTGTCAGCAAACCACGATTGCCTTAGGCAAGAAAGTCTCTCACCTGTCCATTCTGCAATATGGGAATAAGGATACCGGCCATGCAAAGTTACCAGGATCAGTGCTAATTCCAGTGGGCTTTGTTCCTTTAGGTTTATTTTTCCAAAAGGAGTTAAGGCTGTACATATGTGTTTGTGTGCATGCAGACACACGCTTGTGCAGATACATGCCCTGTTCCTCTGCTGAGCTCCCAGGGGATCATAAACCCTGTTATAATTGGAAGTATACTCCTTTAATACTCTGGTAAAAATAGTTCTAGTACCAAAATGTCCTGAAATTAGCAAGGGGAAAAGAAAGATTGAATGAAAGTTTGCTTATCTTTGGGCCTTGAGGTAAGAGCAGTAGTGAGAGGAGGGGCAGCTGTGGAAAGGTTCTGCCTTCCAGGGATCAAAGCCTGTCCATTTTTCCTTGATTAGCATGTCAGAGGTGGCAAATCTAGAAATTGTGTCACTGGGGCATTGAACAGAATGCTTGTTCATTCCAGGCAAAGGGCCTATTCAAAAATGCTCCCATCTGGCAGTGGTTCAGGTCTTGTACAGTGTAAAGCCCAATCACTGCAAGCTAAATTCTGCTTATCCCAGGTCCAACCCTTTTAACTTTTATTTTTGTCAGGCTCTTTTTCAGTCCCCCTTTTTCTGGTCCTTCTTCTTCCTATTTGCTTTGATCTTATATGCTCCCATTCCCCAGAAAAGAGCAACTACTTTCAGATAACTTGTCTGCATTTTCTTTAGTTGTCTTTTCAAGGAAGGCTCATTATGACTGTTGACCCTCTAGCCTAGAACATCAGGCCCTCTGTTGTCAGCCACAGCAGAATATCCTGATTAAAGTAGGATTTTCAGAGTTCCAGAACCAAAGGTAGCTCTGTGAATGTTGGGAGGTACAAGCGGATACCCTCCAATATTTCTCTTATGAAAATAGGGACATCCCATTCCATATTGATAATTTTACTATTTAGACCCCCCACATCTTACTGGGTTGTCCCAGCTGCTCTGGGCAGCTTCCAACGTGTATAAAAGCATAATAAAACATTAAACATTAAAAAAACTTACTTAAATAGGGTTACCTTCAGATGGTTCTGTAGTCAGATAATTCTGTTCCCTCCAGTGTTTCTCCAATCAAAATAGGGACATCCTACCATACTTTCCAACATTTCTGAAATGAAAATAGGGACATCCTAAGGAAAGGTGGGACATTCCAGGATCAAATCAGTCTGCAAGCGCCTTGTCATTAACTGAATAGATCTCTTCCAGCTATTTTGTAGATGGAACACTCTCTCATCCTTGAGATGTCTGCCATATGGTTTTGCACTCCTCAGTTCAGACATGTGCATAGTCATATTGGTCATGTAGTTGCTGATCATTCTTCATGTTAAAAGAGCTGAAGCTTTTAAACAGAACAGTTTTGAAACCCTACTTATGATGCTAGTTTTTCTAAGGACATAAAAGCACAGGCCTATTGCAGGTGGCCCAGAGTGACTTCACCTGCCCTTTTTCTCCCTCCCGCTGTGCATGTTAAATGAGACACTCGTGAAACGTGAACTCCTGCTTCGTGATTACAATCAGGTGAACAGCCGGCATCCGCCACCCCATCCTGAGAAGAACAGAGGGTGTACCTACTACAATGTGAATGTTTATTTGAAACCAACCTGTCTGGAGCTTTGGTAGGAACTAGCAGGGATTATCTGGCCAAGGTTACAGTTTATAAAAGCCTTGTCTGTTTTATTCTCAAGGAAAGGAACAACTAGAACTGAAACCCTTTTTACAGCCTCACCATGTATTATGATTGCCTTTATGCAATGCCTTTTGACCGTAAGTACTTGGGAAGGGATTTCTGCTTAGGATCAGCCCAGTTGTGACAGAGGTCAGAGCTTTTCTACATCACATTCTCTGCTTTTTTGGCAAATCCGTTGTGGTCACTGGAATTACAGGAAAAAAGAAGCAAACTCTATTCAAGCAGGGCATTGTAAAAACCAACTCCTGAGCACCAAGAGTTCATAATTCTGCAGTTGGCACTGGAAGCTTCCTAGTTGTTTGCCTCAAGTGGTCAGTCCTTGCTTTTGGGAAATAGATGTACCTGCTTCCTTTGCCAATTTGTATAGGGGAGGGGTGAGATCTAGAAAATGAGAAACACTGGAATTATTTATTATAGCATGATAACTTCATCAAGTTTGGATTAAGTGCCAGGGACACAATATCCTATATTGACATAATTGAGAGTGGGTTTATACAGTGGAGATAGCCTTTCTGCAGGAGACAGACATACTGCTGTTTGCCACATCTAAAAAATCAGAATATCCATGTACCAGTCATGGGAATAGGAGCACATGGTTGTCGGAGTTTTGTTGTTTTTATTTTAGGAGTTTATAAAATAGTGAAATGTTGCTGTGGCAGGATTGGGTAGCCTTTTTGGTGTATTTCTTTTTATTGTTGCTATTCTGACAGGGTGAGAGAGTTCATTCAGCCTCTAAAGTTGGCAAAGCATTTTAAAATTCATAAAATGGCAGGAGCGGTGGAGAGGGGTTGTCCTGCTTATTACTAGCTGTGTTGCAGGCAGTATCCATTAGGTGGCTGTAACACACAAGCCTGTTCCACACAGCACTAATTCACAATGAATGTGATAAGAGAGTGTTGTGTTTGTGACTGCGTGCAAATAGCATTTTCTCAGGCGGTAGTCCTATGCACAGTTTACTTGGGAAGAACCCCCATTGGTCTCAAGGGTACTTACTTCTTACTACACATGTTAGGATTGTAGTGACCAGAAATTGCAGACTCAGTGCTGAGAAAATGAGATATCCCCTTGGCAATCACTGCCTTGAGGAAATACCTATGGAACCCTCTCCACAAACAAGTAACAGCTGCATATTTATTGCACCAAATAACAGTAATTTGGTAATATTCTAGGGAGAATTTATTTTCTTGTCTATTCCTGCTTCAAGAAGGTCAACCTTTTATATGTTTAACTACCACATACAATTCCTTTTACTATCTGAGGTTAAGGTCTGGATAGTGAAAGTTCTGGATAGGTCAAAATTCATTGAAATGTAGTTCTGATCAGAATTTGTTCCCCTCCAAAACACGGGCCATCATCTCAAGCAGTTGCTTGGGGCATCAAAGTTTATGGGGGTGATAATTTAGGTGCAATCTGTAAAATGTGGCCCAAGATTTCCTGCAATGTTGCAAGAGATGCTGGGCCAAAGTCCTTTCATTGTGTGCTATACTATGTCAGGTGGCAGGATGTATTGTGTGAACACTCCACAGAGCTAGCAGTTAGACACAGGAATCATTACTCTTGGCCTTCCAGTTTTCACTGAATCATATTATAAACTAGGGCAATGGACACCTGAACTCGCAATGCCTGAGCTACGGGGTTCTGAGCCTAGTCTTACACATCACCTACTTTGCTGTTGAGATTTTAAATAGGTGGCTGGAGAGTTGGGTCTGGTGCTATTAACTCTTCTCATCTGCCTCTCTACAGAAAGCTCCATGAGGCCCAGTGACACAGTTTCAGAGTCCAGTCCAGGCTCCACAGCCACACAGTCAGGGGTGCCAACTCAGGTGGTCCAGCAAGTCCAGGCTACTCAGCAGGTATGTAGCTCAACCATAGTTTCTGTGGTTAGTTCAACAATGGCCACCCTGTAATGAAGCAGATGGGGCTGCTCTCTTAATCAGGACTACTTTGACATTTTAAAAGTACAGATACCTCTGAATTAGTGGTATTAGAATAAAAGGTGAGGAGAGCTGTGAATAAAGTTCTTGGGTTCCATAACTATAGAATGGGATATCGTTTGTAAGAGCAGGGGAAGGGTCCTGGAAACCAGAACAAGTGGGTTTGTTTTGTGGATCAGAGAAGTAGGTAATTCTGTGTTTTGTTCTCAGTTATATGGGTTGGAAGAGGGGTGCAAAGTCTTTAGCAAAAGATGGACACGGTCATGTAGGTAGGGTGGGAGGTTTGTAAGTAAGAGCACCTATATTCTTTTCCTGAAATTGTGTATAAGAAACCAATAGCAAAGGTTCTTCACCCAGCCAGGATCATTATCCCCCTGTGCTAAATGCAAATATCAGTGCTTTGTGGACTTTACAGTGAGCCTTGCTATCTTTGAGGGGGAATGCTGGTGAAACTGGCAGCAGATAAAATGTTTCCTGTGAATTGCCTTTGTTTGCCTTGATCCTTGGCTAGTTTGTTTTTGTTTTGGCAGAGGTTATTGGTCCAAGCTAGTGTGCAGACGAAGCCTGGAACGGTATCACCTCTACAGCTCACAAGTGTACAAGTACCCCAGCAGGTGAGTCTGAACTTTCTCTGTGACGCTGCCACAAGTAATTGGTGCAGTTTTAAAGCACATACCTCTGCCCAGTGGCCTGCCTGCCTGCTGTGTCTGCAACTGAGTGATACAGATGTTGTCCTGAGAATATATTCTAGCTGTTGCAGCTTATTGTCATGAGAAATAGGGGACCTGTATACTACTAACTCAGATAGCTGTAAAGTAGCATAATCTTTGCCAAGGGTGAATTGTTTTATTAGGTTGCTAGGATTTCTATATTAGACACCCATAGACCTCTTGCAGAACTACAGTTTCCAGTATTTCTGTTGAGGGAATCCTTATTTGATGGTTTTCTCCTTCACTGGAGAAATCTCTCCTTCCTTGGAGGTTTTTAAGCAGAGGTTGAGTGGCCATCTGCCGTGGATTCTTTAGTTGAGATTCCTGCATTGCAAGGGAGTGGGCTCCACAACCCTTGTTGTCGCTTCCATCTCTACAGTTCTATAGTCACCTGTGTATAGAATCTCTTAGAATCATAGAATTGCAGAGTTTGAAGGGACATCTAGTCCAACCCCAGGCAATGCAGGAATCACATCTATAGCGTCCATGACAGATGGTCATCCAGCCTCTGCTTAAAAACCTCCAAGGGAGGAGAGCCTACCGCCTCCCAAGGGAGTTTGTTCCACTGTCAAACATTAGGGTGAGTGGTTGTTCTTGATAATCCATTTAGCCCTTCCCAGCTCTTAAAAATTATGTACTTTTAGTTGAAACTTCAACCTTGTGGTCATCCCACTAATGATTCTGCATGGGACTCACTCAGGGTGGGATTCACCAAACAAGTCCTGTCAGTTCAAACCCTGCCTGAGAGCTTCCATTTGTGCAATAGGACTTTCCCTTCCGCTTCCTTGCGACCTGGAACCCCCTGAAACTGGCTCTAGGGTGGTCAGGAGAAGCCCCAGAACAGTGTGGCAGGTGGGGGTAGCAGTACATCTTGTTTGTGCTGATGGTGAGATTTACCAAAACATGATGTAAGATTTGTACTGTATGTGTCTTTCAGGGCTATCGGTTCTGTCTTCTTGCACTGAAGTAGGCCGCTTTATGGCAAAAACAATCTTAATAATTGATAAATGAGCAGTTGGATAGTGTGTACTTCTGCTAAGGTGCTCAGGGAATCTCCTATCAAAGAGGTGTAGTGGATTGGCTGCATTCTTGCTTTGGGACCTGACCTGTTGCAACAGTTGGAGTGTAAAAAAATTGACCCAGGCAACAGGCTGTATCGGCTTGGACCCTGGAAGAGGTTGGGTTAAGCTTTTAAGTGCAGCAGGGCTCATGTACCCTAGTCACCTGTGTTTTGGATGTGTTGGGTGACAATCTGGGTATTTTTGAGCCTGTCCAAAGACTTCATTTGCTCTTCTTTTCTGTATTTGGAAGGATGAGTGATATGATTGTGTGTGTGTAGATAAAGATGGGAGAGAGAATACATAAATTTTATTTGATGCTTTCTCTGTGTGTTCACCTGAAGCATCTTAAAAATGTGTGGTGCCATTGCATGAGATGATATCTAGGTACAGTCTTTGGTGGAAATACTTTCCACTGCCAAAAAATGACTGTTTCTTTAAAGACAACATCTTGATGTTCACCTTCAGTTTACACGCTTCTCCTAATCTTAAGAGGCTGCTGCCAACTGGCTTTCATTATGTGTGCTAGCTTTGTACATATTTGAATTTGAGTCTAGGTGCCTTCCCTGACAAGGGCATTATTTTTCAACGCTTCTTTGTCACTTTTGCATTCTAACCCTTCTGGTATCTTTGCCATAGTTCACTTGGCTAGTTGGTTGAATCTTTCCCTGTCATACCAGGCACCAGGCATCATCATCATAATTTTCATCATTTTTAATTTGTATACCGCCTTTCTATCTTACAATACTCAAGGCGGTTTACAAGCTGAAGAAACAAAAAATGTACATCTTATAACAATCTAATGCAATACAAAAATGTGCTAATAAAACATAACTTTAAAATAGGCAACCTCCATCAAAAAAGTAACATTCAACAATCATTAGAATAGTATAAAATAATAATATGAACATATAAAAGTTAAACAGGCAGTAGTAGCAACCTTAATAATCTTGCCCTTTTAGTAAGCCTGTTTATTAACCAGTGAAATCCTGCTAGTGAATTGTATGTTGTGCTTACAATGTCCTTAGAATAATAGAAATGACATATGTGTGCTGTGCTGATCTCATTGGAAGAAGGGCAGGAAACAATTGTAACAAATCAGTATTATATAATGGTAAGATTTACACTTTAAAAAGGTTTTGTTGTGAAGTTTATAATATAAACCTTCAGTGATTTTCCATAAAATATTCCTGTCCCAATCCAGGCATAATGACTAACATTGTTATCAATTATCTATATTTATGGACATGATATATTTTGGACAAGATATATGTAGAATACACATAATTGTGATGCCATACACTTTCTGCATTCCTCTGTGGCATCACATCTGCACCAGGCCTAGAAGTTCCTGGAGGGTTTAAAGCAGTTTAAGGGAGTCAAAAGGAGATGAGAATCCACTACATTAATTTAAGGAAATAAGAGTTTACATAGTATTCAAGAAGTACAAAAGTAGAAATAGAATGTTTTTTTTAAAAAGTAGTAACGCTTAACCTATATTTGTCTGGCCAAGGGAATCCTCAGTTCTTGTTTTCAGAGCTTTTAACCCATCTCTAAAGATGCTTACAAGCACATAATATCGTCAGACCCGTTGGGAGCTCCCTTTTGGTCTCAGCGGGAACCTTTGACGTCCTGGTCATCCCCAGGACCTTCTTTGGGGCTCTCGCTGCCTACGAGCCACCCCAAAACTCCAAAAACAGCAGCCAGTTCACTGCAATAGTGATCCCGGCTTCCTTTCCCCTTGGTGGCAAACCGGAAGTGGTTGATTGCAGAGCATCCCATTTGAGGAGGCGGTTCCATGTTTTGTTTGATCCTCTCAACAGGCTTTCCTGAATCTCTTTCTTTAAAAAACAACAAAAAACAACAACAACCCTTCTCTTAGCTGGTATGGCTGCCTTGACAACTGAGTAAGAAAATGACAGTGAGTAGTGCAGGGTGGGGTAGGAAGGTAATTGCCTATGTGAAAGGTAGCTAGTAAAAAATTGCTCATATTATAATTCACCAAGTGTGTGTGTTTGGTTGGTGAGCAGTTCTTTGGTAGCCCACTGGTCAGTAGCTTCTGAACAGTCTCCTGGAGATACGGTAATTAACCAGGGCTTGCTTCTTTTATGTCATCCTGTTTCAGCGGCTGGTGGTACAGAGTACTTCACAGGCTAGTAAAGGAGGAGCTGTTGCGCTGGCCGTCCATGGTGTGCAGCAGGTCCACTCTTCACCTGAGGTGGGTGGCCAGATGTTTGGAAAGCCTGTTCAGATGTTCCATCCACCATGAGTCAAAGAAAGCCTAGTTTTGCCTTCACTGTGTTGAATGATGTTGCTCATTTATTTATCTGCCTGATCAGTCCGATACGTCTTTTCTTCATCAGCTACTTCCTGGTTCCTCCACAGTTGATGCCCATTTCCAGTTTCCTCCTAAGCTCCCTTGTGACTATCATATTCTGTGAGACCTGGGAACATCTTCTCATTACCTGGCAATGGGTTCTTATCCAACCTCAGTTGCTCCTAAGCATCCTCTCACACATCACAGAGCTCAGTCTGCTCCCTGGCTTACCAGTGAAGTAGGAGCAATGAGGCAAGATGAAAGATTACTAGGATGTGCACAGCATAAATCTCAGTGCAAATCTGATCAAAAAGAGATAATTAGTGAGCCCACTTTGTGGTGGCACTGAAAACACAAAATTTCTGTCACAGTTGCATCCAGTGGGGCTTTTCCAAGTGATTTGGGAGCCTACTTGAAGTTGGGCCACAGAGTGACATCAGAACCCTTGGAAACCTGCTGTATCATATTTGTTAGCCACTTTGAGGATTAAGTTGATTGTATCTGCTTTAATGTGGACTCCTCTAGCTTACAGATCAGCTTGTCTAGATGAGCCTTCCTCAGCCTGGTTCCCTGCAGCTGTTGCAGACTACAAGCCCCTTCATCTGTGTTAACTGGGACCGATGGGAATTGTAGTTCAAGATATTGGGGGTGGGGAGGTTGGGGTAGGCTGTTCTAGGGCTGTAGGATGAATTTCATTTACTGTGGCCTACAGAAATTGACAGATTACTTGAAGGGTTACAGCCCTACCACATGCCTGCTAGGTAACGGTAAAGGATCCCTGGACGGTTAAGTCCAGTCAAACCTGACTGTGTGGTACAGCGCTCATCTCGCTTCAGGCCGAGGGAGCCAGTGTTTGTCTGCAGACAGCTTTCTGGGTCATGTGGCCAGCATGAGTAAACCACTTCTGGCATAACAGGACACCATGACGAGTGCCAGAGCGCACAGAAACACTGTTTATTTTCCCACTGCAGCGGTACCTATTTATCTCCTTATGTTGGTATGCTTTTGAACTGCTAGGTGGGTAGAAGCTGGGACAAAGCAGGGGCTCACCCCGTACACAGACTCAAGCTGCCGACCTTCTGATCGGCAAGCCCAAGAGGCTCAATGGTTTAGACCACAGTGCCACCCGCTCCCTAGAATTGGCCTCCACAGTCACTTACGGACACACTGTTAAGACCATATTCATGGAAGACAATCTTACTCGATTACGAGTGATCGCCAGAAAAGACAACATGCCTATTTTGCGTCAAGTGTGTTTGCGCGTGTGCGTGTGTGTGTGTGTGTGTGTGTGTGTGTTACTGTGCCCAGGCTGTGATCATTTAGCAGCCTTATATTCTGTTGTTTCCGTAAAGCATCCTTTGCTTCAAATATACAGGTTAGACAATTAATGTCCCAGGAGACTGAGACTGGACTGGTTTCTGTGTGTTGCCATTTTTCAGTATCCAGTTTATGTTCATTCTGTCATTTTTGTAGATAACACCATATGTAACCTGGGAAAAAATGCAAGTTACTTAGAATATTTGATCTCTGACCTCCATAGGCACCAACTCTATAAAGCTGAGGCGTCTTCAGCCCCCCCCATATCTGTAGGGATGGGGCTGGAAACCCCCCCCCCCCATCTTGAGGAGGCTGAGCCCTTTCTCGCCTGTCTGCTTCCTCCCTCCTACCTTTGTCCACAGTCCTCCACCATCCTGGAAATCACCCCAGCTGCACAGTTTTGAGAGACACTGCACGGAGCGGTGTGGCCTGGCACAAAGTTGCCTTGCTTGTGCAGTGTCGGGAGACGCTGCACAGACACTTGGGAGGTCTGCGACAGCTGCACAATGTTGTGATGCGTGTGACGGGCCCCCCAATGTTGGGCACAACTCAGTGCCCCTCTTCTAACCAACAGACTTAAGCAAAGAATATAGCAGTGCGTGTGGTGTCCCCTCTTGCTTTTTTGTTATAAAAATTGGTAGTGCTGGACAACCTTTCTCTTCCATAAAATGTTCATCAGCAGTATAATGACCATGTGGAAGTTTTTCTTAGAAGTAGAGTGCACCATGACTGAGGGAGGGACACCACCTGACTCCAGGAGGAGAGAAAGTAAGCATGAATTCTGAGACAGTAGTACATCATGCAGTTATGCCTTGCTCCTTCATCCATACCCAAAAGTAAAGTCTCCTTCCTTGCCTTTCAGCGTTCCCCTGTCCAGAACAGCAGCTCTGCTGCTAAACCGGGACAAGTGCAGCAGCTCCAGGTTCACGGAGTCCAGCAAGTGCCTGTAGCACAAGAGGTGCTGTATCTTTGCTTGCCAATATCTTGTGGTCTCTTCCCAGTCATGGTAATGTGATCGGATTTTCGGGTAGCAAAAGCTGCAGCTTGTCAAGGGTTCACACTAGATTTTCAAAGTTCTATCTGTTAACAGTTTCTAAGCACTTTCAAGATCTTTATTGCACTCCATGTAGCCACTGCTTTCAGTTATAAGGTAGTGTGAACTTTCCTATAGTTTACCTTTGTTTTGTTGTGGAGGTGTCACACCAAATGCCAGATATGTGTAACTCTAAACAACTGTCCCTTTCACATTGCTACAAACTGATGTATTTATGTGATATTTAGTTTTCAGAAATCAAACTTTCCACGTGATGTTTTGGGGTGCAATTCAGATTTATAAGACTAATATAAAATTAATGGGCCAGAATCAACTAAGCAATCTCAGTTGTGGAAGCCCACATGAGGACCTCTGCTAGTGCAGTGATGGCCAAACTTGGCCCTCCAGCTGTTTTTGGACTACAACTCCCATCATCCCTAGCTAACAGGACCAGTGGTCAGGGATGATGGGAATTGTAGTCCCAAAACAGCTGGAGGGCCAAGTTTGACCATCACTGTCCTAGTACAACAGGAATCTCTTCCCCCACCCCGCCCAAATTGGCCTGGAGAGGGTCAGGAGAAGCCTTGGAACAGAAATGCTTATGCCGACAAGAGTGTTTTGTTGAGTTTCTCCTAATTGTGTTCAGATTCTTTGGAAAACCCAAATGAAGTAATATGTTTGTAGGGCCTTTTGTGAGAATAGTATTTTTGTAAGACTTCTGTAAAAAGAAAAATCATTACTTTGCATGTTTTGTGTCCTAGGGTTAGGGTTAGGTTCCCATTGGCCTGCTCTTGTCAGTATGTATTGCAAGCTCGACTACAGCTATCCTTGGGGCAAGGAGGCCTTGTATCACCTCTGCCATCCAAAGCATTCTGATAAATTCTGGTTTGTTTCTGCAGAGATCTGTTGTGCAGACAACTCCCAAAGCAGGCACAGTGCAGCAGCTGGCAGTGCAAGGACTCCAGCAGGTTCATGTTACTCAAGAGGTAAGAAAGAGATTTGACTGTTGCTTTCTGGCTGCCCTACTTTGGTAGCAGCTGTGATCCACCATGGAGGATATTCCTAGATTAGCTGCTCCCCAAGACAGCTAGCCAGTGCCAGTGCATTAAAGCCTTTGCACCCATTCCTGTCCTGAATTCCTCAGCGGTGGGACGTTTAAATCTTTCCCACCCAGAACTAGCTTTCTGGATATATCCAAACTCCCCCACACCCTTCTTCTCTTGAAGAAGTGGTTAGTAGTCACCCATAACTCCCCCAGCCCCACGGTGATCACCATAAATTCTAGACAATGAAGATGGGGAAGGTTCTCATCCCTGCCAGTTCTTGTTTTGTAAGGAACCTTCTTAGCCACCATTATAGAATGCCTTGGGCTCATTGGGCAAAATGCAGATGAGGCAGGATGCGTGGACCTTCTGGGTTGTAATCAAAGTAGCATTAAGGGGAATATTCCATCAGCACAATCTCCTTGTGCAACAGAACTTCCACCATCCTCAATCTGTTCTGCAGGTTCCCTGGATACGAATGGCATTGGGAAAAGAAGAGGGGAAGTTCCCTTGCGCAAGTGGAACTCATTCTGCTTCTGCAATTATTTAATTGAATACCACCCTCTGCCTTAATCCTTCATTCCGGCAGGACATTTCTGGGTTTCTCCACTATGTCTGATTGCTTCAGTCTCTCTGTTTATTGTTTAGAGTGCAGACAGTGGCCCTTCTAAGAGCAATCAGCAGTCGCAGCAGCAAGAGCAACAAGGAGTGCAGCAAGGTCTCTCCCTAGAGTGCAGCAGCAGCAGCAGCAGCAACAGTGCACCCCAGCTGGCCAGCTGCTGTTTATCTGGCCCAGAGCACAGGCTCCACTACATGCATTCTCTAGATTCTGCCTCGGAGCAGTGGGTGGAGCTGGTCCGCATGCTTCCTCAACCGCTCCTCCTGCCACAACAGAAGGTGGTGATAGAGCAGCTGCCATTCCTCTCCTCTCATCACTCCAGCCCTGACCAGAGAGTCAAGATTCAGAGAGTCCCTCAGGTGCTAGTGTTTGGAACAGCAGCTACAGCACTTAAAGTAGGTCCTGCAGAGGGCACCGATTGAGATCCAAGAATAGCAAGCTCTGTGCATTTCCCTTCCCACAGAGTCAGGTAGCAGAGCTTGCCAGCATTATCCCCTTCTATACGATTGTGACTCTCCTCTTAATTAACGATGGTAGAGCAACCCTCTTTCCTTCCCCACATACTGCCAGAGAAATTGAAATTCTTGGACCTCTTCAGCACTGGATGTGATTTTGATTTCATTTGCTTGAATCAGATGTAGATATGGAGGTCTTGAGGGATTGGGGTTTGTGGGAGACGTATGCCACCAGATAAGCATGCTACGTTTTGTGCAGGACTTTCAGTATTTGGGAGCCAGAACAGAGGCTTGCCATAGCTAGCCAGGATCCCAGATAACTGCATCTATGTTTATGAACAAGGTCTGATCTAGGTAAGCTAAATCATGCAGTACCGATTGTATGAGGACTACTTAGCCCGTTTGCCCTAAAACTGTATCAGCTACTGAAACAAAGGCAGCTCCCTGAGCCAAAGTTAGCTGCTGTCTAGTGAGTGGAAACTGAGTTTTCTTCAAATCACCTCATCACATTGTAAGACATTAGGCCCATCATGGCAAGTAAAAGGCCTCTTGTTTATAAAGCTGTGCTATAATCCATGTATTTCCATAAAACCAATATTGTACCATTGTTGCAAAGGGCCATTTCACACTTTACACAGGAGCGAACCCAGGTTTGCCATTGAGTATGCACTCGAGGGCAACTGCAGCCAATCGTGGCTGTCCTACAAGTGCATCTGCATAATGCAAATGTATATTTTTCACACCTGCACTTTACTCTTGTAGATGTACACTTGCAACATTTTAGCTGCACTCTTAACAAAAATGTGCAAAGTGACCTTTAGAAGGGATGGAATTGCATGCAGCTCTGCACCTTAGCATTCCAGAAGGGAACGCAAGAGAATCTGTTGGGGGCTCTTGCCTGCCCAGCAAGAGCCCCCAGCACTTCCTTCTCCATGTTATACCATTGTGCTGCTTTTCCCAGGATCAGAGTATTTGGACCCTGGGTTCCTGACTTTCCTCACTACGGCTCTGACTTGTGGGGAAATCCTTGGTCCATGGGAATAAGCATTCTAGAGTCCCGTCCCGTCCCCTAACCCCCTTCCCCCACATTTAATGTCTGCTAGATCAATGTCAGATGCAGGATAGAGGCAAATATAAATCATGAGACAGGTGATGACTGCTGCAAGCAGATTGACAGTAGGTGTGGCAATTAGGAAGGCAGAGAGGTCGCCTTTTGTCTAGAGGCGCCTAGACAAAGACGCCTTTTGTCTTGGGAGGGATTAGAGAGAGTGGAGCGCAGCGACCTTGGCCCATCCTGTCTCACCTCTTTTCCTTTCCTCTCTTTGTGGGCTTGCTGCGTTCTCAGGTGCAGCAGCTCCAGCAGGTACCTGTGCAGCATGTCTATCCCAACCAGGTGCAGTATGTGGAAGGAGGTGATGCCAGCTACACAGCAAGTACCATGTGAGTACATGCCTGGTGAGAAGGAAGGCTTTATCATACCGGTGCTGCCCCAGCATTCAAGCTCACAGTGAGCCGGGTATGGACTCCTGTCAGGTGCAGGTTGCAAGAGACACAGATCTTCACACAGATGCTAATTGATTCTATTCTGTATCTTAAGCCAGAGACGGTCAACTTCCCTGTGCATAGATGGCCAGACAATGATCTAGCGGCTGGAAATGCCTTTCTGGATGGCCAGGCTCCATCACAACATTGGTGCCACCTAGCAATGAAGGGTTAATGGTTATGGAGTATCTGCACCCAGTCACAGCTGAACATTATGTTCTGGGAGCAGGTGGTGCTGAGCCTTGCCGATCGGAAGGTCGGCAGTTCAAGTCTGCACAATGGGGTGATCTCCCATTGCTCTGTCCCAGCTCCTGCCAAGCTAGCAGTTCGAAAGCATGCCAGCACAAGTAAATAAATAGGTACTACTGCGGCAGGAAGGTAAATGGCATTTCTGTGCTCTCTGGCACTTGTCACGGTGTCCCGTTGTGCTAGAAGCAGTTCAGTCATGCTGACCACATGACCCAGAAAGCTGTCTGTGGACAAACGCCAGCTCGCCCGGCCTGAAGTGAGATGAGCGCCGCACCCCATAGTCAAATTTGATGGGACTTAACCATCCAGGGGTCCTTTGCCTTTTACCTTAGAACATTACATACAAATACCAAACACAGATGAAGCACTAGGGTGTGGACGATATCTCTTAGACATTTCCCCTTTTTATTATAAATGAAACTATGGGCGCATGAACTTAGATTTTTCTTTTAAAAAAGGAACTGTTTATTATTGTTTTGTAAAAAATAGAAAATGAAAGTTTATATAGTGAGTGTTGTCGAAAATCAGGGAAGTTATTCTGAAGTGCTGCCTTGAAGAAGATTGGTGGATTGGCTGTTGATTGTCCCTGTTTTCTAATGGAAAAAAAACCCCAAGTGAAATCACTTGGGAGCTGGGTTTGGCGAAGGAGCCATCAGTTGTGCACCCCTAAGCTAAGTCATCTTGATCTAAGCAAAAAGCATGGTAAAGGAGTGGTGATGTACAGCCTTCTCCTTTTTGCTCACTGTAGGGTGGTGTATATGTTTAGCTGCCATTTCTCTATAACAAGTGGTTGTTTTCTTCACTTGGAAATCAGAGATGGAAACAGCACCTCTTTCTCCTGTTTTCAGACGCTCCAACACTTACCCTTACACGGAAACCCCTCTCTACACTCAGAACACTGGCGCAAACTACTATGAATCGCAAGGCACCCCAACCCAGGTCTCCACCCCAGCAACCTCCCAGACTGTGGCCAGCAGTGGGTCAGTGCCCATGTATGTCTCTGGAGGGCAAATCATAGCCAACCCAAACGGAGGCAGCAGTGCTGGAGGAGGAGGAGGTGGAAATGGAAATGGTGGTGGCGGTGGCAGCACTGGTGGTGGCGGTGGAGGAGGCAGTGGCAGCAGCAGCACGGGGACCTACGTGATTCAAGGAGGTTACATGCTGGGAAGTTCAAGCCAGTCGTACTCGCACACCACTCGTGCCTCCCCAGCAACTGTAAGTCTGAGTCTCACTCTGGATACCTTGCTGTTCATTCAAGGGGATTGGAGCTTCCGGGAGCCTCTTTGCTTTTTTCAGCAACTTGTCCAAGTGCTCTTAGAGCAGTGGTTTTCATGGCTATGTTCCAGGGAACCTGGGGTTCCTTGGAGACTTCTCAGGGTTCTTTAATTAGAAGACCCATAATGATTGGTGCAAGCTTCCCTGAGATGGCTTGCCTGTCCACAGCTGATCATTCTGTTCAAGGTGCAGCAGCAAGAAAATATTGGGCCTCTTTTGGGTGCACTCTCAGTCCACACAGAGCAACCTTGAGCCCTAACAGTCAATAGCAGCACCCTGTGCATTCAAGAAAATGTCCCAGCATTCTCTGCAATGCTAGGGGTTCTGTTGTGGACAAGTTGATATGGAAAATGTCCTTTGAAGGTAGCAAGTCTGAAAACCACTGACTTAGAGAATTAAACACTTACGCATGTTCCTCTGTTCAGTGTTCTTTTGCCCTTCCAAGAGGACATTGCTGCGATGGGATAAAATTATTATTATTATTATTATTATTATTATTATTATTATTTATTTGATAGGCCTGGGGCTCTTTCTGATGGAATGATTTTATATCTTTTAAAGGTGCATTGAACATTTGTATTACAGTGGGCATGTGAAAGTATGAAGTAATTCATAATGCTTTTGAGACTCAAAGGAAAACAATAGCTTTGATCATTCTAGTGAACGATGAACCAGAAGCTTGTTCAGTAAAAGATACCACCCAAGACAGCCCTATCATGAGGGAAAGTAGCATGTTTGGATGTCATTAAAGGCAGCAGAGTGGAACACAAGACAGATTTCACCCAGAGGGCACAATTTGCCATCCTCTTGCACAGCTTCAGTGTAGATCGACAGAAGTGTTTCATTTCCTTAGTCAGAGGTGGGGAACCTGTGTCCTTCCAGATGTTACTGGACTACACCTCCATCATCCTGATCATTGGCCATGGTGGCTGAGGGTAATGGGAATTTGAGTATATCAACATCTGGAGGGTCACAGATTCCCCATCTCTGCCATAAGTTAATATAGCTTGCACAGAGAACTTATTTGTGGTTTTTGTCTCCTGTTGAGAGGGGATGCTCTTGCTTAGATTTTCTGGCCCTTGATGCTACTTTCCCTACTTCGTTGGTCTTGTTCTCTGAGACCCGCCTTCCGAAAGCACTCTTTACCTCATGGTGGATCTAACTGAAGATTGTGAAATGTGCCTGCTTTCTCTTCTGTGTTTCTTTAGACCCATTAGAATTCATTAGTTCTCACAGGAAACAATTCCTTAATTCTTCATTGGAAACCGTGGAAGGAAAAGAAATGGGATTGAGGTACTCCAGCTCTTGGACTGGCCTAATTCAGTCCTGGGTTTGGCATAATTCATGCCTTTCCCTGGTCATCTCCCAGCATGTCCCCAAACCAGTCCTGACCTGCAAACCCCTTTTGGCCCTACCCTGCCAGCTCTGAGCACCAATGTTGGTAGGGCCAGGGCTGCGGAAGTTGGGGTGTGGAGGGGGAATCTAATGGCAGGTCTCTATACTGCTTCCATAGGATTTCAGTGTAAGGCTTGTAAAAAGATGTGTGGTTCTTATTTAAAAGAAGGCGCTGTGGGTTAAACCACAGAGCCTAGGGCTTGCCAATCAGAAGGTTTGCAGTTCAAATCCCTGAGACAGGGTGAGCTCCCGTTGCTTGGTCCCTGCTCCTGCCAACCTATCAGTTCGAAAGCATAAAGTGCAAGTAGATAAATAGGTACTCCCCCCACTCCAGCGGGAAGGTAAACACCGTTTCTGTGCGCTGCTCTGGTTTGCCAGAAGTAGCTTAGTCATGCTGGCCACATGACCTGGAAGCTGTACACTGGCTTCCTCGGCCAATAAAGCAAGATGAGCTCCGCAACCCCAGAGTCATCTGCAACTGGACCCTAATGGTCAGGGGTCCCTTTACCTAATAATATAGGAGTGTTAAATGTTTGACTTTGGCATCAACACAGCCTTCTCTTGTATAATTTTGGGACCCTGAGAGTGGGAAGAGAATGGACCCTCACATGGCTTATTAAGATGGTGCCCACCTCCCAAGCATGGGTTGCACCATGCGAACCATTCATTGAGAGAGATTGTGACAGTACCTGAACTATTCCCTTCAATAACTGCAAACAAAAGGGCTTGGAAGGCCCGTAACTTAGATTCCTGTTTCTTTGCAGGTCCAGTGGCTGTTGGATAACTATGAGACTGCGGAAGGTGTAAGCCTTCCACGGAGTACCTTGTATTGCCATTACCTCCTGCATTGCCAGGAGCAGAAACTGGAGCCAGTCAATGCAGCTTCCTTTGGCAAGCTCATCCGCTCAGTGTTTATGGGACTTCGCACACGCCGGCTTGGAACCAGGTAAATGAAAGATGGCTTTCCCGTGGGCTGCATGGCAGCATCGCAGAGTAAAAATGTGAGGTACCTAAGCTGCCAAGCATCTCTGCATCCCCCGGGAGCTTCAGGAATACAATTACTATCAGCACTAAAGTCCACCTTGTTTCCCATTCACAAACCTCAGATTGAGCAGAGCGTGGGGGAAGTGTGGGTGTGCTGTACAGGGCGGGGAGAGGCACATACAAAACCCACCCTTTCTCAGAGCGGTTGGAAGGTACCAAATGTCTCCTAAAAGGGAGCTTGCTTCTTAATGCAGAGGCCTAATGCCTGGACTCACACTGATCTGATTTGCGCAATGCCAGTGAAGCTTTGTAATGGCCAAATGGGCAAAATCGTTTTTTATTATTTACATCTTCCTCCTGGTAACTACCAGTAGGACATACGGGGAGGAGAGGTAAGAAAAGTCCCATTGCGCCAGCCGAAGTTCTTGCGTGGGCTTTCACTAGTGGCACTGGTTAGTTGAATTTGGCCTGTTATGTACCTAAGGGTACCTTGATAACATCTCTCTGTGTCTGGTGGTGTACCTTTTGTTGTGGTCCAAGGGGTTTGTTTATATGGAGGCTTATGTTTTCCCACTTCACTTTTCTTTCAGAGGAAACTCCAAATACCACTACTACGGGCTACGCATCAAAGCTAACTCCCCGTTGCTGCGGCTCATGGAGGATCAGCAACACTTGGCCATGAGGCAACAGCCCTTTTCTCAGAAGCAAAGGTAGGCAATAGTGCAGGGGAAGAACCGTAGTTTAGTAGCAGAGCACATCCTTAGCAAACAGAAGGTCTGAGCATCAATTTCTGGCATCTTCAGGTAGGGCTGGGAGGAAGTCAGGACTGAAACCCTGGCATATACAAAATATTATTACAGTTGCAAAGTGTACATATCAGCAAGGCAAACCAAGGACCATATAGCCCAAGCATTATATGAAAGAGTAGAGTGCTGTATGCAGGTCCCCAAAACTGTGGACCCTTGTAGTGCTATTATCCTCTTGGAACTGAGGAACTTCTTTGGTGAGATAGATATTCTTGAAGTTCTCCCTAGTGTGGAAAGTGGCATCAGGACCTTGAAATATTTTGAAGCGTTATCTGCTGAAGATTTTTCCATAACAGAATCTGAGGCAACCCTTTTCTCTCTGTATCCCATGCTCTTGACATAGGCACATGCTATTGGTGTTACTGTGATGTGTTGTGGGCTGACTCCAAGTTGTTCTGCCTTATAGGCTCAAACCAATTCAGAAGATGGAAGGCATGACCAATGGAGTGGCTGTCGGGCAGCAGCAAGCCTCGGGGCTGTCTGACATCAGTGCCCAAGTACAACAGTACCAGCAATTCCTGGGTAAGGAGGGCCACTCTTTTGCACATGGCAGAGTGTGGTCTTTGAGATGGAAGCAGAGGACATGCGACACAAGCTTCTACGTGCGGTTGTTAGGGTTCCATGTTTAACCACCTGGCTCACAGAAAATGACTTTTTTGGTGGAGATTCTGTCGTGCCGTGCCTGATGTGACTTGTTTGATACCTTAGACAGTGTCTGTGTGGTAGGAACACCATCTCAGAGCCAAGTATTGCGGAGAACTTCCATGTCCCAGGAAATGCAGTACTGGAATGAGATTTTTTCACTGTATGTGTGAAGTTCTTTGCATGCATTACCATAAGCCCTGCACGGAGTCCTCACTACAAGGAATTATTTTGGGGCGACAACCATTTTGTGTCCATGTTACATTTGAAGCAGGTCTGTGTGGCTTCAGTGCTGGCAGTCTCGCCCTTGTGGCCAAGGATAGAGTGGGCCATGGAAACACAACTCCCCGGTCCCCTGAGAAGCTATAGATCCTGAAGCAGATAAACCACCACCTTTTCGATCAAACTTCAGCAGACAGTGTCAAGGTGGGGCTGCTCCCTGGGACCCAGGGTTGGGCTTGGAGGGCTGATGTCTCTCTCCTCCACACAGATGCCTCTCGCAGCCTGCCTGACTTTGCAGAGATAGACCTACAAGGGAAGTCCCTCCCTGAGGGCATTGGAGCCGAAGATGTGAAGTCTTTCCAGTCGCTCTATCGAGAGCATTGTGAGGTACATCAGGAGAGCACATTGGAAAGGGAAATCTAGGCAGGGGTGGAGCGCCTCCGGTTCCTTGCCTGGCCCTGCTCCATACCCGCCTTGAATGTTCTTGCTTGGATGGAATGTACCCCTGAACTATGGCAGTGCCTCTTGCTTGCCTCCAGAGAGGGTGGAGTGATGGGTGTGTTTGCAGGGTAAGCGGGTGGATTGTACAAACAGCTTCTGTGTGACTGGAGTGTAGCCCACAGTATAACCTACTTTTGCCTTGGAACGCACTCCCCTTCCACATTTCCTCCCTCTCAACCTGCCCGCTAGTGGCAGGGAAGGTTGCCCATGAGGGACTGCAGCCCTAATGGGCTGAAAAAGGTTCCCCACTCCTGTGCTACAGCCCACTGGATGCAGTTGGAAAGTAGCAGGCTAATGTGCCTCCCAGGCAGGTGTGCATCAAATGGACCACCCTCTGCAGCCCCACATGCTTGCTTGTAGGCCTGGCATTGCTCTGGCTACTTCTAGGCAAAGCCATGTCAGTGGAAGCAGAACCAGGCCAACTTAACCCCTTTTGAATTTTTCTTCTGAGTTGTCTTCCTTTAATTGTTTCATTTTATTAAACATTTCTAGACTGCCTTGCAGGTCAGTTATACTGCTGCCACAGCTTTGCCTGTTCTAAACTCATTACGTGATGCCCCTGATCCAGTAATCTGTGGCGGACTTTTTTGCCATTCAGTTGCCTAAACTTTTGAAAATCTCAGGCATTGTTATTCTCATAACTTGTTTTGGAGGTGATATACCTGTTGCTCAGTCTGATTGTATTAACTCACCCTTGAAGGGGTTTCATCCCTGAGAGAGTTTCCGCAAAATAGTTGTGTGCCTTGTTTTTAGGATCTTAGTTTTTTAAACAGTCAGCTTGAGCTGATTTTTAAAGTTTTTTTTTATTTCAACTATTTATATGGGTATATGCTTAACCCTGTATTCTCTAAGTGTTATACAGTGTTATACAGTTATACAGAAACAATAAGGATAAAATCAATTAAAATGAGCGACAACATCAGAAAACTTACTTAAGATTCCTAGTGAAGTAGAAAGGTCTGCCCCACCCATGTACCAGAAATTCAACAGAGGGGGAGGGGGCCCTGTCTGATCTCAGTTGGGAGGAAGTTCCACATCATTGTGCCCACAATACTAAATGCTTGGATCCTGGTATACAAGCTGAATATCGGAGTCATGGGGGACCACTGACTGTGACTCACCTCAAGACCTCTGTGATTGGGCAGGGATATAAGGAGTCAGGTAGTCCTTAACGTATCCGGAGCCCAAGTTGTTAAGCCCTTGTAAATTAAAAGAAGAGTCTTGAACTTCGCCTGGTAGCAAATGGACAGCCCATGCAAAATTTTTATTTGTTTATTTTTATTCAGAGGAAGCTTTTAAGCACCTAAGCTATGTGCTGGTGAATGGTCTGTTCTAGCTGCAGCATTTGCGCAGATGTTTAACTACAAGAAGCATCATGGAATTCAGAAGCATCTTGCCATCTGCATATATTTCTTAAAGATTAATGAATTTATTGTAGCATTAGTTTTTTAGTGCTCGAGCCTATATGTGTGAAGTTGAGAGTGGACATACACACATTTCAGATTGAGGGACATCTGTTGTGAGACTGAAGAAACACTTGCTCAAAGTAGGGTTACCATACATGAGTGAACAACTGAAATTAATGTGATTTAGTCACTGGGGGAAAGCAAGTCAGGCAGCACACCTTGCAGGCAGGTACTCAGTTTGCATGGCACAGATGGAATAATTAGAGTTTTGCTTCAATATGAAATAATTTGTATTGAGTCTGTCCATGAACCCCACTCGAGCAGCCTTTATGCTCTATCTGCTCTCTGAAATATTCTGCTTGAGTATTAGCAGAGTATTGGCTTTGAATTCAGAAATGACAGAATGTGCTGGACTACTGGGTTGACTCTTTAAAGGCAGCCTATCATCTTGTTGATAGGAACAAATTACCGTATTTTTTGCTCTATAAGACTCACTTTTTTCCTCCTAAAAAGTAAAGGGAAATGTGTGTGCGTCTTATGGAGCGAATGCAGGCTGCGCAGCTATCCCAGAAGCCAGAACAGCAAGAGGGATCGCTGCTTTCGCTGTGCAGCGATCCCTCTTGTTGTTCCGGCTTCTGAGATTCAGAATATTTTTTTTCTTGTTTTCCTCCTCCAAAAACTAGGTGCGTCTTGTGGTCTGGTGCGTTTTATAGAGCGAAAAATACGGTAATTTAGCAGGGAGGATCCTGCTATCTCTGTTCCTGCCTGGCAGGTCTAGAATTAAATCATACAACTACTTCTCTTCCTCAGGCCATTGTTGATGTGATGGTAAACTTGCAATTCACACTGGTAGAGACACTCTGGAAGACTTTTTGGAGGTACAATTTGAACCAGCCCAGTGAAGCCACCCCCATGGATATGTGAGTCTTTGTTTTTTGGCATTTATATAAAAATGAACTACATGCTGTGGGGTGCTTTACAAATTTATGACGCAGAGGCTGTCATTTCTGGTGACAGTGACTTCTGTTGAAAAGTACATGGGATTGGCTTTTTGCTAAGAAGTGCATCAGACTACTGAGGATTAAGGACAGGCTACTGTCTCCATGATCCAGGTCTGGGTGCATTTCTCAACTGTTTGAGCAACAAAATCACTTCCATGTTTCCCCTGCTATATAGCACTTCAGTGCTGTAATGTCTTTTCTCATCCCTTTAAGAAGGATATCACACTTACCACGGGTAGCCAGCCTGAGGCACAGATGCCACTAGGCAGCAAGGGCTTGCAGCTTATAGTCAGCCCAGCACTCAGTGGAGAGTTAGGCATATATGCCTATGGGAGTAGAACAACAGTAAAAAAAACTCCCACCAGTTTTGATTTAATCTAGGCATTCGCAGACTTTGCTGAATTAACATTCCATTCCTGTATCAGCTTCTCCTCAAGTTCCCTGCATCTTCCTCTGCCACCAGTACTCAGATTATTTTCCCCAGCATCTCTTGAGTATAGTCTGTAGGCTCCTTTAATACAGAATCTGCTTCTGTATCAAAATGAATGGAGCAGTTCAGTGCCCTGCAGGCCTGTTGATTCAGGCTGACAGAGGACTTGGCTGGCATGGCCACATTAGGATATAAAGGCTAAATGCAGGGGTTGTAAATGGGACAGGCGGAAAATGAAACTGATAGGGGGAAGAATAACAACTTGTTAATGAACTTCTTATAACAGAGGAAATATGAGCCTTTGCAGGGGAACCAAAATAGGAAGTTGTTTTACCATCATAACTGCCTAGCATCTTATCTCCACCTTTGCCCCGCAGGCCCTTAAACATCTAGTATCCAAAATCTATTTGCTGTTCCTAGGCAAGGGCTGCTGGCATAGCTGATGGGTCTTGATAATCTGAGTTGTGGCTTGGTGATGGTGCTCTTTAACCAGGTGTCTGTGTTTCATATTTAGTCAAGACGAAGCAGAGAAGCGTCTCCCAAAGAGCTGCTTGGTGACACTGTCCAAGTATGAGCCTGTCCTCAAATGGACGAAGGACTGTGACAACTTGCTGTACCAGGGGCTGGTAGAGGTCCTGATTCCAGAAGTGCTCCGGCCCATTCCGAGTAAGCTCATCCTGCCCAGCTTATATCCGAGGCCTGCAACAGACTATCCCAAGCCTAGGGCCACAACCAATACCAATGCTGAAATCAGGATGCTTCAGCTGCTGGTGGGGCTCTGCCAGATGCTCCTGCCTTGTTCCATAGTGGGCTGGGTGATCGGCCTCATGTGCAGGTTTGGGTAGGAAGCCTCTGGCCTGAGGTGGAGGCATTTAAGCCACCCCCTCAGTGCCATGTTGCCCTTGGACTTATTCTCTACTACCCCCATGAAGAGAGGACTGTCAACCATCTTGAAACCGGCCATTCTAATGTTACATCCTTCCCCAGGTGCCTTGACGCAAGCAATCCGAAATTTTGCAAAAAGTTTGGAGAGCTGGCTGACAAATGCCATGATGAATATTCCAGAAGAGATGGTCCGCGTTAAGGTGAGCCAGATGTGGGAAGTTGTGGGGTGCCGTTGGTCTTGGCTTCCCATTTTTCTGAGACTAGGAGGTCTTAAGGCGGTGCTCTCTGGAGCCTTCAGTCTGTGTTGCGGCAGATCAGTATACAACTACCAAGTCACGTTGGGTGAGGTTTTCTGCCTCTGCACCAGTGACCAGAACTTGATGCCACGGTTGGCTCTTTTCAGCAGTTGGAGCCCCTCCTCCCCCACCCCGCTTCCTAGTGGGGGTGGCAGCAGAACAAACTCCTAGCTCCTCAGTTTGGGGCTGGTGGGAAACATGTGTTACTGTGTTTTGTCTCTCAGGTTGCAGCAGCAAGTGCCTTTGCCCAGACGCTGCGGCGTTACACCTCCCTGAACCACCTTGCCCAGGCTGCCCGGGCTGTTTTACAGAACACGGCCCAAATCAATCAGATGCTGAGTGATCTCAACAGGGTGGATTTTACTAATGTCCAGGTAACAACCTCCACACTTCTGCCACTGTTTTCTTCCTCTCCCATCTTGAATCCAGGAGCTGCAAATGATCTTCCTATTGACTGGTCTCATTTAACCCCAAAGCCTTATTTGGCATTTGGAGTGGTCAAAATAAGAGTTGTGTCAGACACAGGCCTTACAGCTTATTTGCTAGGCCCATCTGATTCAACATAGGACTTACTCATAGTGGCACATGTGCACTGGGAGCTCACAGGTAGGACACAAAAAGAAGGACCCTTCCTATGGATTGTTCCCAGAATTTGGTCCTTGGAGGACAGTTGATTTCCGTTTGATGGCTAATGGCTGTTGATGGACCTGTTCTTATTGAATATGTTTAAAAGCCTTTTAGATGTTGCACATACGCATGAACGCAGTGCTGACGCCCCTTTTTCTTTGTGCTGCTTCATCCTTACCCCACTTCTTTGCTTCAGATTCTCTCCCCTGCCCCCCACTTAACAGCACATTTGTATTCATATAACTGGAGTAGGGATGGGGTACTTGTGCTTCAGATGCTGCTAAACTACAATGCCCAGCATCCCTGACCATTGGTCGTGCTAGCTGGCACTGATGGGAATTGGGAGTCCAACAATTCCCTGAGCTAGGCATTACTGCAACTTGGCCCTAAACTAGTGACCACCACATCCTGTGATTGTGAGTTCCAGAAGATAATTATTACTTGTGAAAAAGTATGCTGATTAATTCTAGCAATGAATATATCTTTTTAGTTGGGTGCCCAGTGATGACTTAGTGGGACAGTGAAATTATCTGGGTAAAACTGTGATGATTTTAGGTGGGCACAAGCAAGCCAGCTCCCTTGCTGCAAACTGCTCCCCCTCCCCCTCCAATGGCAGATTCTTTGGGCAGTCTGGACTCTGTGGGCCGTCTGGAGCTCTTTTTCATCCCATCCATTACGAGGGATTTGCCTTCATAGCCATTGACGGTATTTTGTTGGCATTTGAGACTCCATGGTACCCGATTTCCCTGGCCACTTTGATTCTACAGTTCATTTAAGTAGCTTCAGAGTGGGTCATTGGCTTACCCAATGGGAGAAGAGAAACCCCACTGGAGACACCTTTCTTCCTCCTCTTGCTGCTCTGCAGGAGCAGGCCTCATGGGTATGTCGGTGCGAGAATCGTGTGGTGGAGCGCCTTGAGCAGGACTTTAAGATGACTCTGCAGCAGCAGAACTCTCTGGAACAGTGGGCCGTGTGGCTGGATGGCGTGGTCAGCCAGGTCCTGAAGCCCTACCATGGCAGCCCCAGCTTCCCCAAAGCCGCCAAACTCTTCCTCCTCAAGTGGTCCTTCTACAGGTAAGTAGAAGGTGAGAAGCAGAGTGTTGGGCTTGGTTTTGGGCTCACACCCGGCTCAGCCATAGACTTCCCCCCCTGCTGTTTAGCCATGCCTGTGAAACAGGGTGGTTTACGTGCCTTGTGATGCTGCCTGCAGATGCAGATTTAGGGCCCTGCAACTGATTCTCCTGCACTGGGTGCCGAGCCGGGGGGGTGGGGTGCTCAGTGCGTTGCAACTATGGCGTAGTGCACACACAGAATGGAAGATGGGGGGGGGGGGGGTTTGGCCTCACACAGGGCACTGCAAAGTCCTTCCCTGCTGCCTGCATGGTAACTGCAGCATTGGGTTCCTTCTTTCTCCAGCTCTATGGTGATTCGGGATCTGACCCTGCGGAGCGCAGCCAGTTTTGGCTCCTTCCATCTCATCCGCCTCCTCTATGATGAGTACATGTACTACCTGATAGAGCACCGTGTGGCCCAGGCCAAGGGAGAGACTCCCATTGCTGTCATGGGAGAGGTAGGTTTTATGGGCTTTGGACTTGAGGTTGGAAAATCTTGCTTAAAGAGCTAGAATCATTCTGATTGACATGCCCTTGGCTGGGATGTCAGAATCAAGAATCTTGACACCAGGGAGCTTTTGGACATATGAAGCTGCCTTATATTTATTTGTCAAATCATTGATCCATCTTGGTCGATAATGCCTCTCTGGTTGTAATTTTTATGAATCTCTAGTCTCCTCTTCCAACCCAATCTTAAGATTCTGCTAACTGGGCAGGTCAGGGATTAAATCTTGGACCTTTTGTATGTGCTCTAGTTCTGAGCTACAGAAATGTTGAATCTGTGCCTCTGTTTGTATGCAGAGCCCAACATGTTTAGTTTAAGACTGTGGTCTTAAAAGTTCCGCACACTAGCATGAGACACTTTCGCTTGCCCAGTGCTTACCAGTGAGTGTGGAGCCATGCCTAATCCAAGAATTACCATCCATGTTCCGTTAGCTGGTAGATGCTTGTGTGGAGGTCAAGAAATCAGTGAAATGCAAACAAGAAGTGCCCCACCACCACCTCCAATTTTTAGGCCACAGAGAGTTCATTGCCATGTTCTGGAGAGGGGGGTGGGTCTCTGGACTGTTTCTCCCCCTATCCCAGATCTCTGCCTGAGAAAAAGAGCAGGGCCCACCAGCATAGAAGGGCTGTGTGAGGTAGCATTAGGCTACAGGCAGAGTAGTCTATAATGTGGGAAGATCCTTATGTATGTTTTCTTTGTTTCTTTTTAAGTTTGCAAACCTGACGAGCTCCTTGAACCCCTTGGATCCGGATAAAGGTATCGCCCAGCCCCTCGGGAGGCCAAACGCTTAGGCTTTGTCAGTGGTAGATGTTAGAGACTTTGGGGCCATTACTCTCCCTCCCACTTACAATGTGTGAGGCGGTAGTGCTCTTCCCATTTGTCTAGTATGAAAGAGAAACTGAAGGAGGGAGGTTACCTGAGGCTGTTCACTGAATTCAAGAACTAAGCCAGCATTGGAGCCCAGATTTTTCAGCTCTGAATCATGTCGGCTTTCTAAACCATACATCATTATTACTTTGGATTTATTAACCACCCTTCATGGGCTCAGACCCATTTAAAAAACAAGATTAAAAAGTTTAAAACAAATTACATAGAGAGAGAAATTACATAGAGATTACTGCATTGTCCTTTGGTTTGCTTGTGGCTGCCCTCTTTTTCTGGAGAATCTTACAGTACTGGACAGGTCTTTCTGCTCTCCTGGATGCAAGACCAGAACACAGAATGAAATCAAGGGCTCATTAGCTGGCTTCAAGCTCAGTGAAGCTATGAATTCAAAATGACCTTGGTCCCATTTCATTCTCTTTACTTCAAATTTTCCCCCACCTGTAAGATGGTAGCAATACCCTGTGTGTGGTTAGAAGTGAAGAATTCGTAGATATGAAGCAGGGACATGCAGCTCTTGACCTATTTTTTTAAAAAAACGCCCTCTGTAAGTCCTCGGTTCAGACCTGGCAAGAACATTCTTCTAGGTGAGGAAGAAGAGGCAAAAGGAGAAAAGTGGGTGGCAGAAGATCCACTTTTGGTGCTGGCCTCAGCAGCATGTGCTGGACAAATTAGCCCTGAGGGAAGGTGATCCTCAAACAAACAAAACGTGTAAGAGAGAGAGAGGGAGAAAGGAAGGAAGGAAGGAAGGAAGGAAGGAAGGAAGGAAGGAAGGAAGGGGATGCTCAGTCGGGAAGGGACTGGTTGTGTTACAAACTGTCCCTGGAGCTGTGGAGGGTGTATTTACATCATCACCTGTTCATTTAATGCCAGTTGCTAGCAAAATACCAGCTGCTGGGAATCACTGGTAGAGAGTGTGTTGCTGTGCTAAAGTCCCGTTTGCAGTCTTCCCACAGGCAGTACAATACTCTCCCCTGTCCCCAAGTTCTCTGGCCTGAGGAAGAAGACTTGGGCAAAGGAAGGAGTCAGTGGTAGCAACAAACACTTTAATATAAGTATTTAAGACCTTTTACATTTGCTGGATAAGACTGAAGGTCTAATCCAGCATTATATCTTGAATGGAGCCTTCCAGGTGCCTCTCAGAAACTCTTATAAAAGGCAAGTAGGTGATGGGCCTTAACTGTTGGTAGGTGATATTTATATTAATATTTCACCTCTGAGCATGGAGGCTTTATTTAGATGTCATGGCTAATAGGTGGATTTTACTTAGGCTTCCAAGTTGATAGCTGATGACTGTCTAGTTCCCTGCTGTTCTTTGTCAGCTGGATTTGAGGGGGTACCCAGGCTGTGGTTTGGAAAAGACATCTCCGAGGATTGAGGGGACAAAATAGGCTGGTTCTTGCATTATATCAGTCCTCAGGTTCTTTCAATCAGGCTGCAAGTCTCAGGATTGCTGTAACCATCTCTCTTTCTAAATCAGATGAGGAAGAGGAAGAGGAAGACGAGAGTGATGAAGAAATGCCCCAAGAATTATCTCTCAGCTCCAACGAGTCCAGCAGCTTAACAGCAGAGTCTATGGAGCCACCTTCGAAGCTGGCACGGACAGACTCCCGGGGCATCTTTGTACAAGCACTGCCCTCCAGTTAAAAAGCAGCACAGGAGGGACTGACTGCCAAGTGGCCGGCAGGAGGCCAGGATGCACCTTGCGCTGCGTTGCGCTGCCCTGCGATAAAGATGAGCTGTTCCCTATCTCCAAGTGGTATGCAACGCGCTTTCATTTCACACCTCTCCGTCTCACCTGTAGCCCAGTGTAGCCCAAGCAAGCCCCCAGTTAGGAGCACTCACCCCAACAGCCTTCCCAGCCCCTAGCAGCACTGAAGGGGCTGGTTTCTGCCTCATTCCAGCTGCTGCTCTGATAACCTGGGTTCCCTGGAAGTTGGCTTAGCCCTTCTGCCCCATGCCCCTCATCCATGGCTGCTTTCCACTGTCAGTTGGAGGGGGTGCTTGCCCAGGCACAAGTCCCAGCCCCCATGGTCTCCGCTCCCAGAGCAGTGAGTGCTATTCAGTTATTAAACTGGGGTAGGTTCACCTGGGGTCTAGCCATTACTGTCTCTTGGCAAGGACTAGGCTATGCACAGTATCTAGTAACCCTACGTTTCTTTATATGGGTAGCCAGATGAGTCACAGAGATGGCTGCCTGGGAAGTGGCACTCCAGCTGCTTCCTCAGATCAGGCTGAATGTCACTAGATGATGGGGAACTTTTCCTGTGTCTGCCTGGGAGTTTCTGTTGTTCCTGGGCATCTGCCTTAGTTTTGTACTTCTGGAGGCTGTTGGGCTCATGGTTTGAGCATCAAGGAACTTGAGGAGTGGTCAGTGCTTGGGTTTAGAACTCCCAGCAACAAGAATTGTGCCTGTTTTGGGGTGAGGTGCTGTGCTGTATTCATCCCATAGCTTCAACATGGATCCTGGGTTACTCTTTCCTGTGTTCTATGACAGTGGCTAAATGCAACAATGGGTTTTCTCAAGTGTGGTGTGTGCTACTGGACTTAGGACTGCCTCAAGCTAATGGATGTGTGAGATGATACTTTGAAGAGGGCAGCATGTACCTGTACTGTCACAATGGTATCCAAGCTCCCATTTGCCACGGACATGTGCCTAATGACCACATGCATGTGTGGGCATGCACCACATGCTGTACTGTCTTTGTAGCCCAGTCAGACCTTAACTGCCTGCAGACTCCTTGCAGCAGGAAGGGTCTCATTAGAAGATGAGCCGCAACGCTGCAGTATTACGGTCTACAGTGGGTGGCCCTGGCTCTATGCCTGACAATTTCTGGTTTTTAATACAACTAATTCTCATTCTCCAGCTGCTTAGAAGTTGTCCAGGGCTTATTGCTCTGAACAACTCCTTCCATCCAACCAACCAACCCATTGCTTAGCTTGATTTCCGCCCTGCCCCCCTTTTTCATTCTCAGTAAGCATGTCTGAATTTACAGATATTTCTTTCCTAACATGCAATTGAACTCTCACTGCAAAACTCTTTGGATTCTACCCCTTTTGTACTCCTGCTGCTACATTTGGGTGCAGAGAAGGCATGAAGCAGCTGTGTTCTCAGATGCTTTACTGTTCCTGATTAGCTTTATTGTATGCAGTTTTAAGCTGATTGGTGCTGCTGCTGGTGACTGGCCAGAAATTTTTCTCTGGGCAGATTTGATTATCCGTTGTGACAAGTCAGGAAGCCCTACCTGTTGTTAACCCAAAGTCAGGCTAAGTGATCTCTTTAAATCAGGGATGGGGAATGTGGCCTTTGAGATGTTGGACTCTGAACCCCCATCATCTCTGACCTCTGGCTATGCTATCTGGGACTGATGGAAGTTCAGCAGCATCTGGAGAGCCAAAGGTTCCCCCATCCCTGCTTTAGTGTCTTGAGTAGGAATGGGATGCAATACTAGTAGGATCTTTGAGTCAGTGTCCTTTGCACTGGACTCTTGGTACAGCTGTGACAAAATGTTGTCGCATTTCAGCCACGCCAGATAATTAGCTGCACTAATTATAAAACTTTCCAGTGTTGGGCTTCTCGGCATGCAAAATGGTGGCATAAGCAGTACCGCCTTCTGCCAGACATGGCTAACTCACCTGTCTGTGTTAAGCGTCTGACCATTATGCAAGGCTAGCTTTTCAATGCAATCAACAGGGGCAGACAAATACTTAGCTTTTGCAGGTGTGGAGGGCGGGGTGGGGAAGACCTTCCATTAACCAAGTAACAGGGTCTGGATACATTGATTCCACTTATGGTTTTATTACGGCTGTCACAATGCATAGGATAGGGTTAGTCAGTCCTCTTGTGAGTGCTTGGAGGCCAAAGCCTGCTTGATACACTGCAGTCAGGTGGGATTCAGTGTAGGAGCTACTATAACCAATGGAACTGTGGTACAGAGTATGCTTTTATCTAAGCCTATATCCACGCTAACAGCCCACCATCAGCCACATTGCAGCATTATTAGGGTACAAAATTTGGATGGTAATCATGTGGATGCAACCTACTTGATTACACTGGTCCTGTGATAGGAAAGGTCAAAGGGAAAGCAAACTGAAGTACTTGGGTGGGTAGAGATCACTGCAGAACTATCTCCAATTGTAAATGCTAGCTTCTTCCTCCCCTTACAAGCAGTAGTTTGAAGAGTGCCTAGGCTCAGAGCTTACAACAGTGGGTTTGTCCTTACCCATTACAGCTGCTTGTAACAAGGCATGAAGACTGTGTCCAGGAAAGGTGTAGCTGCTGTTCGTTATCTTTGTGTGTTGACCTACCCGGGTCTGGAAGGTGGGATTCAACAAACATTTTGCTCATTGCTGGCTTTCAGCATAGACTTGTTCAGGCACTAGCATCGCCCACTCCAGGAATCCAAATCATAGTGGTTGATGCTGCACTCCTGTTTCCTCTAAAACACCTCTACCTAGGGTAGCAAAAGGAAAGATCTGTGGGCCTTTAAGTTAGGGATGTGCACCAAAGCAAGTGGTCGAGGAGGAAACTCTCAGGACCATCCTTGTAGTCCCTCAGCTCCTTGAAACCTTTCTCCTTACCAATAGATACTTCATGTAAATCTTTTAACCCTCGTCGTCATATAAAGGTGCTCATAAAGGGTGGCATAGGAATTTAATTAATTAATAATAATAGTTGGTAGTCCAGTAAGACTGAGATTTGAGGCTTTCAGGCAGTGGTGGCGCTTTATGCTCCGGCACCGGGGAGGTGGGGGTGGAGACCAGGCGGGGGCGGGGCTGGCGCACATCCCGGGAGCATGGCGCCCAGCGCAGGGTGGGGGCAGAGTCACGATGGCACCCCACTGAGATTGCGCTGCCAGGGGTGGTGCGCTCCCCCCACACTCCTCTTCCTCCGCCAGTGCTTTCCGGTTCTTCTCTTTTCTGGTTTGTCCAAATTCTCCATGTAAAATAAATTGACTAACTGAAGCTACCTGCCTCACAGCAGAAACCAGAGAATCCCATTGTTCTAGCCACTACCATTGTATCCCCAACCTCAGCCAAATAGGCTGGTGGCTGCTCTTAGCTGCACCCAACTATATTAAGCTGCTGTAATTACCTAGAGCACAGCACCTCCGTATCACCCCCATCATGTAAATGTGCCAGCTTGCTTAGCGGCACATGGGTTTTACAAGTACCGGGATTATAGGCAGGCTTTCTGGTCCTTCTAGCGAGATATCCCCTCTGCAGTTGTTGCAGCAGAGCAAGTGCATAGTGTGCTAAATAGGAACTTACCCCCCCTCTGTAGTCCCAATTAAAGTGCAATCAGTCAGTCTAGTCTAAAGAAGGGCTACTTAAGAGAGTTGCCCAGCTTGTGGGCCAGCAAATTTCTCCTTGAAGTGACTGACTAGAGGAAAAACACAGGTGCCAAAACTTTTGCTTTGCTCCTGTAGCAGAATGCTACCTTGAAGGGAGATATTTGCACAAAGCACCTCTTCATTATTTTGAACTACAGCAAGTAGGATGCAGGTGATAGAGGCATATTTCTTTCCTTACCAGAGGCTTCATAGCCATTTCCCACTTTGCAGAAATAAGCACTTGCCCTGTCAGAGAAGCACCTTATTTATCATACCTGCCTCTTCTGCTGCTTTTACTAACAATTCACAGCAAAGCAGTGTGTTCAAATGTTTCTGGTTATGCATGCTGATTAACTTCACTGTCAGGCATGTGAACATACCCACACACCTGACAAAGCAAGATACGCCCATCAGAGATGAAAGGTTCGTACTCCCATCAGGCATATAAACCAGTGATCTGAAAGGGACAGGCTGTAAATCAAGGTTCCAAGTAATGAGACTCATCTGTTCCAGCATTCCCCTAGTTCTTGCTCTCTGAAATGTATGCAGATTGGCTTTAGCTTTAGAAAAGTCCTAACTTTGATATGGAAAATGGATCATGTTGTTTGCAAAAACCTTGCTTCTGTAAGCTAGCTATTCCCCTCTTTGAACTGTGCAGAATGCTGGATCTACCAATCACGCAGGACTCAACAACATGAATGAGCTTACCTTTTTATTCAGTTGCTGCCTTACACAAAGCCAACACCCATTCCCTCTGAACCAAGATTCTCTCTGTCCACCAAGATTAGCTGCAGAGCAGCTAAGGAGAGTTATCAATCAGCAGGTTCAACTCAGTCTGGATGCTCCAGACTGCAGAAATACTTGCTAGATGAGAACACCGCATTCACTTTTTAAAAGAAACCAGTCCTCTGTTCCCTCTGTGCTAGTAACTAAGCAAACAGGTTTGGTTACTTCCTACTCTAAAGAAAGTAATCACTCTTCTGGTTTGTAACTGAATATTAGATATTCTAGTTTTAAACAGAAAAAAAATATCTGTGCTTTTATATGTAATTACTAATTCTTGTTCTAAAAACCACCTAAATATTGTGAGATTGGTGAAGATAAATTACTTGATATTTTTGGGTTTTTCAACCATCATGGCCTTATTTGTTCAATTTTCCAGTGTTTTAAACCTGTGATATAGATGTTTATTGCAAATCTACATATTGTATAAAATATATATTTTGTGTCAATCTTTTGTGCAGCAGCAGCTTTAGCTGCACTATAGACTTCAAGTGGAGTTTGAAGAGCTTTGTAGGTGTCCTGGGTCCATGAGATGGGCAGTGCCTGTGGTCAGATGATGTACGTGTGTGTAGTCTGGAGTGAAAAAGCTGTTTTCTACCTTTTGTAGTTCTTTCTTAAGAAATAAATTCAGCCGTGTTCTTTGCCTAGGATGCTGCTTGCTTACTCTTACCAAAATAAAATTTTACCTTCACTTTTAGTCCAGCTATACTAAACTAAGAGGAGGACAACCTTGACTTGACATCCTCTGCACAAACCTCGACTTGGCTAATAGGTAGGACACCCACTGCATATAAGCAGTAAACTTTAGTTTTTATAGTTTACAGCCACTGCAAACCTGGCTATTTTAATTTCATCATCTGCACTCTCAAAGCTGTTAGCCTCAGGAAGCAAGTTCCCATCTAAGAAGCTTCCCTCTCAGCTTTTTAGAGTGGGAAGTGGAGAGATCTTTATCAGAACCACAGCAAGGAGGGGGACTGATTAGCTCCTCCATGGTTCAGATTCTACTCAACACTCCCTCCTCCCAGTGTCTATATTTTAAATATTGCATATTAATTGCCTGTTTCATCTAGCTTGGCCCTAGAACAGCCACTTTACAGGGAAGAGAACATAAGACAAGCCTACTGGATCAGGCCAGTGGCCCATCTAGTCCAGTATCCTGTTCTCCCAGGGGCCGACCAGGGAAACCCTCAAGTGGATTTGAGCACCAGAGGACTCTCTCCTCCTGTAGTTTCCAGCAAGTGGTATTCTGCCTCCAGCTGGACAAACACAGAAGCAGATGGGGTCTTCTCATTTAAGAGTACCAGACACCTGTTTGGCTTACTTTTGCTATTTCTCAGTTGTTCACTATCCTGTAGCTGCTGCTGAAAGAGTCCTGTACCAGCTATATATGAAGAACAGCAATGCCAGAGCGGTTTACCAGCCAGCAGGAAAGAATTTCAAGCAATTTTTTTCTGAAATAAGACTTCTCAAATAGCAGCAGTTATAGGACTGTGAGGTATTCACACTTGTATAGAAGGAATTTCTATGAAATCCAGGACACAAAGCCTTGAAACTGCAACCTTTTAGTGGTTTTGCTGGTAATGTGCTAATATCTGCTTTGCAGTGTAGGAAGAAATCTCAGCTTTGATTTCAAGTGAATACTGCTCAGTGGTGGGGAAGTAATGCCTCCCCACCCCCAATCCATCATGAATCTTGCCACTCTTCCCTTCTCCGATCTCTCCCCTCCCTCTTGAAAGCAGCAAAAAAAATTGTGCCATAGTATGAGAAAGTAGAAGTTAATGGCAGACAGAATATGGTCAAAAGGTTCATGATACAATACAACCTTGCTGAACCTTAGCAAGTCTGAGCATTGATACTCCAGCTAGTAAGTCTGTGTACATTGCTTTGAATTATAAGGAAGAAAGGCAGGGTGTAAACAAAACATTTAAGCTGCTACAATGCAAAACTGGACCGCTCTTTATTTTCACTATCGCCTTGCGTTGAAAGAGGCAAAAAGGCAGCTTGAGCTTGCACAAGCATCTCCTAAGTTTGCAGACGGTGGCTTTGGGAATATACATACACCTTGCTGCTGCAGTAGTGGTGGACTTTGGGCTCTCAAATTTCAGCGGCACCCTGTGCAACACTAAAATTCTGCACCCCACCTCTCATACTCTGTTCTACATCATTGTTGTGGCACCCAACATAGCTGAACCAGCTGAAGTACCCTAAACCCGTCTCTGGCTGCAATGTAATATAGCCTTGGAAGTGACAGGAGTTTTTTCCTCTCAAAGATTAAATGAAACAATAACAGCCATTCTCAAATTTAAATGTTTATTGCAGGGAAGAGAAAGCCTGCTTGAGACAAATTAAAAGAATGAAAAACACATTTGTGGCCCCATCCCCTGGGGGGTGGGGGTCCTGAAACACTGAAACTCAAAACAGGGAAGTTGGTTTTGGTCTCCTTAACAATCATTGCCCCGGAATCATTCATTTTCTGGGCCCAAGGACAAACCCTGTAGAAGACTCACCTCTTAAGAGTCTCCTTGCAGTTTCACCAAGTACAAATGGACATAACTGCACAGAAGCAGCTGCTTTCTGTTGGAGCCTGTGTAGCCCAACTAGTACGACTACCTTACATGGAGAGGCAGGCTTTTCAGAGCGTCTGGACCAGCCTTGTATTTCCCCCTCCCCCCCAACATGTAGAGACAATGAAGCAGAGGGTGTGGTTCTACCCACAAATCAATTAAGATGCACTCAAGGTCATCGGGGCAACTGTCTAGTCAAAAGGGATAGGGAAATTAAAAACTTTTAACAAGGGAGGTAGTTGAATGTGACACACAGTTATGGCAGGAAATGAACTACTGATGTAAGCTTTGCTTCTGAACCTGGCCTCATAAGACAATCCACGTGTAACGCTCATTGTCGGCAAGGAATTTCAAGGAGCAGCCTGCAGGGGGAAGGAGGAAGACATGAAATTAGCTACACACTGATCTGGGCCAGGCAATCCACAAAAGGGCACGAGTGTTCCAAGAATCCACCACATTACAATTTAGGAAGGAGGCACAGGAAGAAGCTGAAACTTAGAAGTTAGCCCTGAGCAACAGCAAGGGCGAGAATGAGTCCTTCTGTGTCCTAGAAAAAATACATGTGTTCCTCCATCATCTAACACCAGAAAAATGCTAAGATAATGTGCTGTTGTCCTCCTGACGGGCACAGAAACCATCAGATGGCTCCCTGGTTTGAAGTAGACTTCCTGCCTCAACAATAACCAGTCAACTATGACCACTATGCCTTGAGGAAGGCACCAAGGAGCCTCCTGGAAAGTGCTGAGTTACCTTTATGAAGGGCCTCGTTAGTCATCCTGTTGACATAACGACCACTGCTCTCTGGCACCAGCCATTTCATTACCATGTCCACACAGCTTTTCCGGTAGGAGCTCCACACACTGCCACTAAGGGAGGAAAGATGGGGCTCTATCAGCGTCCACAGTCTGCAAACAGGTCTCCAACAAAGTACTAAGGAAGAAATCACAGTTTCTTTCCCCATCTTGGTATCATTAATCCGCAACAGACTGAGGCTTCGTGAAATGTCTACTCATTCGCGACTATAAACACCCTTCAGCTGTGGGAACGGTTTTAGGTGAAGCAGTATGGGTACAGGTGTCAGTTGGCTTTAGCAAGCTCCTTAATTATTTTATTTATTTATAAAAATAGAGACTGCTATTTCATAAAAAATAACTAAGCGGATTACAACAAAAATACAGGGGGTGGAACTGTACTCAATACAGGCCCTAAGTTTCATAGCCAATTAAAAATAAATGGATGCAGTTTTACATGAAGAATTAGCGTTCAAAAGATATTTTGGTGCAATGTTCATAATACTGAATATATACCCAGTCACTGGGCACCTCAGGTAACAAGTCAATTAGCTATCCAAGATGGATTTCCCTTACAGCACATCACACGATGTCTTACCTGGTCTGCCCTTTGACTTCTGTGAGGTCTCCCACACTGACTGTGACAAAGATGCCAGTGTTCAGATCCCATGCAACTTTGAGACTAGTGTGATACGTCTTTGGCCTGTGAAAAGCAGAAAAGGGCAATTTAGACAAGCAGCTGTGAACACCAAAAAGCAACATCCTCTTCCCAACCTCACAACGACATACCTTGTAAATTACTCCAAGATTAATCTCAGCAACTGATGAACCTCCACCAGCCTATGCCCAGGTGTTGGCTCCAGGAAGAGAACTTGATACTCAGAACCACAGCTGAAAGTAATTTGCTCTCAATATATATCCTCCACAGATGCTATTTTCACATACTAGTTATTACCCAAGTATTTGCCCAAGTACTGAGATTGGTATTTTGCATCTGATTTCATTACCTGAGAGTAAATACTGGAAAACATTTGCTAGCTGGGTGGTTTTGACTATTTGACAAATGTCATTAATGTTACTATTTGCAGTATTGGGCAATATTTTGACAAATCATGAGACAACATTTGTCACATCAGAAATAAAAAGTTGCTGAGGAGGTAAAATTTCATTAAAATCTGATTTCACCCCCCCCCACACACACACACAAAATGAGGTTCTGCAAAAAATTCATTTAGCTCCATCCAAATCGAGACCAAAATGCAAAAGTGAGCTAGCAAAACAGGCAAAGTGTATGACTTTTAAGCCCTATATATTAATGCTTATTCTGCTTCCTTCTACTCTAGTAAATCACTCCAAAAGATTTCTCCCCCTACCAAAAGTCCTTCTGTGTCAAAATCCTAATACAACAGAACTTCAAAGAGAGAAGATATTCAGAGGCCCAAGGTGGGCGTGACAGAGACTCACCTGAGCTGCCCCTCTTCATCAGGAGAAGGAAAGGCTAGGAGCAGGAGTCCGATATTGATAATAACTTGGTTGGTTTCTGGACACACCTAGGAAGGCAAAGTTGACAGCTGGTAAAAGCAAACTACCTGAACTGCACTGTACTCACAGCAGGACCAGCAGGTCAGAATTGCTGGCCCAACATCTTTCAGAACAGACAACTTTTTGGGACAGTCATTTGTTCCAGCGCCTTATGTTTTTATAGAGTTCTGCTATCTAACTATTGCTTTAAATCAGCAACCAGGTGAGCTTCAACATCACACTAAGGCAATGGTTCCATCAATGAAAGCATTTTAGCTTGCCAGATGGAACAATTCCACTTCTTCCCCTGTGTGCTGTTCCAGGAGTTCCTGACCCACCCAGAGCCAATTGCAGGGGGCAAATGAGGGGGAGGGAAGCCCCACTGTGCAAGAAGCAACTTCTGCTGATGGGACTCAGCAGGTAAATTCTGCCCTTAATTTCTTGAGAGAATTAAGTGGGGACAAGGGCTACACACTTCCTGGAAAAGCAATTAAGGTCTGAATTCACATTCCCTGGTAAGCACAAC